TTGGCAGATCATCACCACCTCATCAAACAAAAGACGAAGGCAGAGAGAGAGAGAGAGAGAGAGAGAGAGAGACAGAGACAGAGAGAGACACAGAGAGAGAGAGAGAGAGAGAGAGAGAGAGAGAGAGAGAGAGAGAGAGAGAGAGAGAGAGAGACAGAGACAGAGAGAGAGAGACAGACGGAGAGAGAGAGAGAGAGACAGAGAGAGAGAGAGAGAGAGAGAGAGAGAGAGAGAGAGAGTGTGTGTGTGTGTGTGTGTGTGACAGAGAGAGAGAGAGAGAGTGTGTGTGTGTGTGTGACGGAGAGACAGAGAGACAGAGAGACAGAGAGACAAAGAGACAGAGAGACAGAGAGACAGGGATACAGAGAACAAGAGAAATAGGTTGACGCTCGTAGCCATGCAGCCCAGGGGTGTTGCTACAGGCTGACTTGACAGTCGCCGATGTTGCATGCATGCAAATAAAAATAAAGCTTGAAGGTCAGGATGAGAAAGTAAGCGCAAAACAATACTCAAATTTGTCCCTCGTCAAGCTGGAAGACTTTCTGACAAATCTGTGCAAGGCACATAATGGAACACCTGTGACTTGACTGCTGATGAGTTTGGATCGCTGCCAAAGATGATACACGGGATTCAAATGCGCAGGTGATGCATGAACATTCTGGAGGTGCATTCGCATATAGCGAGCAGAAGATCAATTGGTTGCGCTCAAATCACTTGCGCGCACGCGCGCAGACACAAAACACAAAAACACACATGACATAAGCATATACAAACAAAGTTGTAAACGCGTTGGGCAACGGGCGATTCCATTGCTCGAGCAGCTTCACAAGCAAAGGTCAAAAGAAGCACATGCGACGGGAAAAGGTACGAACAAAAGGTACGAACAAAAAAAGTGGCAAGGGTCATGTTAGTTATCTCCCTCTGTTTCTTCAGTGATTGAACGTTTTGGCAAGTTGAGTGTCGGCATCACGGCAGGACGAGGCAAACCAGGTGCGCGCGCCAAGGGCGGCATCATGGCCGGTCGCAGAGGGGGCATGCTGCCCATGCTGGGCAGCGAGGGCCGCTTGGGCTGAAAACCCGGTCCAGCCGCTCGGAAGGGGTCTGGAGATGCACCGGGAGGGCCACCCTTGAAAGACACGGGCTTCAATTGAGGAAAGGGTGCGGCCGTGCGCGTGGATCGACGCACAGCAGGCATGCTCAACGGCGGCAGGGCTCCCGTGCGAGCCACTTTTTGGGTTGGTGATCGCAGTGGTGGGAGGCTGGCTGCAATGGGCGCGGCATCGGTAGCAATTGAGCCCCGCGGGTCCCCAAAAACGGACGCGCGAGGCGTGCTCATAACCTCCGATGCGGGGGCTAACGTGTCGTACCCAACCGTTGTGGTCTCGCTTGGGTGACGCGTTTCCACCATGGCGAAAGGATCGTGATTGGCGCGCATAGAAGCGGCCGCCGGCGGGGCCTTGAATTCAAAGTCCACGAGCGGCTGCTTCTTGGGCGTCGATCGACGCGAAGTGGCCTTCTGCTTCAAGAGTGCCACAAGCGCAAACAGTAGCGCAGCCATGAAGCAGATGATAGGAATAATGTAGATGATGCTCGATGTCCGGTGCGGGCGGCCGAAATTTCCCGTGAGAGCCTCTCGACTCACCAACTCTGAGTTGGTGATGTTTGGCTCAGAGGCCAGAGAAAGGCGGTTGGGCAGAATGCGCACGCGTAGTGCGCCTACTGCGGGGGTGGGTGCTGCATCCGTCACATCCGTCAAGGTGATGACCAGGGTATCCTGTGCCGCCCAGCCGCCGTAATACGCCACACCCAGTGATACTTCCTGATTGTCCTGCACAAATTGCAGCACGTTGTCCACCGCAGCCTTGGTGCTTACGTCTACCTGGGACACGGCGTCTGAAAAGACCACCGTGATGGTGTCACCGCTCGAGTACGTGGCATCACGGTTATCTGGATCGGCCGCAATCAGGGAGACCACAAACGGGCCCACACTGGTGGAGCCCTCGGTCAAGGGGTTGCGGCTTGGGTCCTGACCGTCCGTGAGGTTGGCAAGCGACTGGTTGTGATATGCGTTGATGAGTCCATCCACCAGAGCTTGATTGCTTATTTGCAATGCATCGGCCAGACTCTGCTGGTCTTGAATCGTCTGGGAGCCGCTGTCCACGATCACAATGGTCAACTGGTTTGGCGAGCCCGCGGAGCTGCGCCGGCGGCGCGCCTGATCAGCGACCAGAACGGGGCAATTATCCCCCGTGGATTGGCCCCACATGCCCTTGATCTCTCCCAATGACTCGCCTTCGCCGAACGACATGATGGCCTCGATCACCACCTGGCGCACTTCGTCACACAAAGGCTGGTTCAGAGGACCCGTAAAAACAATGACAATGCGAGTGCCTGTTGGGAAGGCGCGGTCGGGCTCGTCGGTGACGGCGTTGCTAAAGTCAATGATGATGTTCTTCACACCCGGTACGGCCCGGCCCCAGTTTCCTTGGAAGGGAGCCAAGGCCACGCTGGCCAAGGAGTCATTGGCTGCATTGCGCACACCAGCACCAGGAAGCAGCTGTAGCTCGAGGCGACGTGGAACCGCCAATGCCACATCGTTCGGTGTTTGTGTCGCAACCACCGTCGGCTCGCACAACGTACATTCCACCAGCTCGATGCGCAACGTCTGATTGGTGTTCCAGACACCCCTGTAGACCGCCGTCTCCCAGAAGGCTTCGGGCCAATCTAGCTTGGTTTGCAAGGCTGCGTGATTCCACACCGTTCCTGCGACCATGCTCGTGGGTTCCGCAAAGGTGACTGTGATGATGTCACCCACCGAGGCGACAAAATCAGAGTCATCTGGATCGCTGATCAGCACGGATGTGATCGCCGGACCAAGAATGTCGACATGCACCAGGGCAGTCGCATTGTCGCATGCACCGGCCAAGTCGCACACTTGGAATTCAAATGTTTCGGTACCATAAAAGCCTGATGCTGAGGTTGCATTCTGCGCATGATATACAAGAACCCAGCGCTCATCCACAAGCAAAACGTCCGCGGTATTGTGGGTCGGTGACCGCACAAGCCCCACCGACGCCGTGTCACGCACGTGTGCTGCGTCTGAAGGTGCAAGCTCATCGCGGTCCTCGGTCAAGGACAGCACGTCAATGATCAAATCACTCCCGGCAAGCACACGACCTTCATACGACGTCACAACGGGGGCGTCATTCACGCTCGTCACCGTGACATTGACCCAAGCAGAGTCGCACAGGCCAGCAGGATCACAGACCTGATAGGTAAACCACTGCTCACCCCAGAAATTAGGCGTGGGGGTGTACGTGATGATGCCCGTGCGCTGATCCACCTCCAGCTGACCGTGGGCCAACATACGTGTATGAATCGACACGATTAGCTCAGCGTCCGTGTTGTCCACGTCCGCAACGTAGTCGCGAGTGAGGAAGAGGAAAGGTTCATCCTCGTTGGTGCTGACACTGGCGTTGAGCGCCACGGGCGCGTCGTTGACTGGGAGTACTTCAATCGTGATCCGACCAACGGCACACCCGCCATGCGAGTCGCACGCCTCAAAGATGAGCTCATCGGTGCCAGCAAAGTCTGCTGTGGGCATGAGGTAAACAGATTGGTTTTCAATGTTGATGGTGGCCTGACCGTGTGCCAGCGGTTGTGCAACGCCGAATGAGATGGCCGCGAGTCCTGACTCGCGATCCCAAACCAGGGGTGCCAGAGCCACAGTGGCAGCTCCATCTTCAATAATCTGGACGGAGGTATCATTGACTTGAGGCACGTCGTTGACACTCGTGACATTAATGGCTAAGTGCCCGAGGCGGCATGCTGACATCGAGTCACAAACCTCAAACACAACCATATCCGGGCCATGGTAGTTGGCTTCGGGGGTGTACATGGCTGTGCCGGTTGCTGCCGTGTATGCAAGTGCGCCGTGGGCGGGACCATCAACGACGGTCACGGCCGCCCCTGTCAACTGGTCTTCGACGTCCTCCACATATTGAAGTAGATTGATCTGTAGCTGCTCGTCCTCACGCACCCACAGGGAAGCATTGCGAGCGACAGGTGCGTCGTTGACCGGGGTCACGGCTGCAAGCACGTGTGCACGCGAGCATGCCATTTGAGCATCACAAAACTCAAGCACGATGACATCGGTCCCAAAGAAGTTGACCGCTGGCAGATAGATTAGCCAGGGCCCAGAAAGGGTGGCCGTGCCATGGGTCGGGTTTTGTACGATGCTGGCAGTCAGAGCTGAAGCTGGCTCTTCTACGTCCCAAACGAGGCCAGTGACATTCAACGCCCCCTCATCGTCCTCAGCCACCGTAATGGTGGCATTCGTACTAACGGGCACGTCATTCACGCCTACTACCACCACTGTGATGGTTGCCGTGGCACAGGCGCCGTCCGTATCACAGACCGTGTAATTGAAGCCATCCGTTCCCGCATAGTTGGGGCTGGGCACATAGACTAGCGTCAGATCATACTGATCATCCGACGGGACCGAAGTGGACGCCGGGAAGAGGCTGTCTCCACTGCCTTCATCGTCATTGTCCAGCATGGAAACGTCACCGCTGCCGCTACCACTGGCCACATCCTCGTCGTCGTCATCTTCTCCCTCACCGAGATTGGTTGCGGCCCAGTAGACACGTCCGTGCTGAGGCGAGTCTACCCAAACGTGCACACGGGCCAACGGACTGTCTTCAACATCAAAAATGTGCATTTGAAGATCAACGGCAACATGGTCATCCTCGGTGCACACGAGCTGGACAGGACTCGCGGTTACGGGGTCGTTGATGGCTGTTACGTTCAGAGCAATGGAATCATCAAAGCAAACGTCGCGGGCGCAGACTGCAAAAGCCAGGGCATCCGACCCAAAGTAGTCGGGATGAGGGGTGTACTGAATGGACCCATCGGGAAGCACGGAAGCTTGACCGTTCGAGGGTGGTGCTGTGATGGAAACATGCTCGGCCGTCAGTACGTCGTCTGCATCAATCAGATGAGCAAGGATAGGCAAAACGCGGAGGCCGTCTTCCGGGACACTTATGACACCATGTGCGTATGGGTAGGAGGCGCGTGGCTGAGGGGCATCGTTGACGGGTTGGACCGAGACATCTACGCGCAACAGGTTGCTGGAGGAACTGGCGATATCCTCGACCTGCAACGTGATGTCGCGCGCCTCGGGATGGGGTTTGTCACTGTCAGTAACGAATCGCACCTGAGAAAGCACCTGGTGCCAGGTGTCAACAGTGATGTTGGCGGTCGTGGCCTCAAGCACGAGCAAGTGTTCGTGTTGCACCGTCAAGGACAATCCCGAAGGAAGAGAAACGTCCGGGGCTAGCTGCACGCTCTCCAGTAGCCCGTCCAGCGGATTAGTCACGACGACGGTGGCACGGCGAAGGAAGAGGTCATCGGGGTCGCTGATCACTAGAGTGCTGAACAACAACATCTCACTATTCTCTGCTACGGTCAGGGTATCAATTCCATTGGTCAAGACGGGGGCGTCGTTGACCAAAACAATACGCACCATGGATTGCGCAGGTACGCTCACGGCCACGCCATCGCTTGCTCGGACCTCAATGACGCGCGTCTCCTCAGATGGCTCGCCAGCCAGATTTTCGTAACGGGCGGTACGAAGAACGTCTTGATACACTGAGGTAAACGTGTTGCCTTCGACACGCAGGAGCGCGCCATGTCGCTGCACAGTCAGGGAGCGGGGTGCATCCACGTAAACGGCCTCCATGGCTTCACCATCGGGCATGTTCATGAGCTCAATTTCTACCCAGGTCAGACGCTCGCTGTCCACATCGACCAAGGTCATGGAATCTGCTGCCACAATCGCCACGGAAGGCCCTTCCTCGACAAAGTCAACCGAAAAGTTGGTGCCGCGTTGAGGGCCGTTCAAGTCAAGAATGGGCGCGTCATTCACCGCCTCAAAGCTCACATGCACAACGGCCTCCAAACTCATGCCACCATTTTCATCCATGGCCGTAATTTCAATGCGGCGGGCGGACCAGTTGGGATTGCCTGGATGTGCATCCCCGTGCTCATACGTGACCTGACGCAAGAGGCTTGCATATTCGGCCAGCGTGGCGGGGCCTGAAAGTATCACCTCACTCCCCAAATTGTTAACCTCCACCCCAACAGCACTCGCCAGAGTGGATTCCAGGAACAGAAATTCGGCCTCACCGTCTGGACGGGCATCCAGACGCACGGACAAGCTCTGCAACCGCAGATTATCAGCATCGGTGATGACCGTTCCTTCATCTGCAATGGCAACGGGCCCATCACCCTCGACGTACGCCAGTACGCGCACGTAGTTTTGGTCCGCAAAGGTGATGGACGGCGCATCGTTAATGGGCTGGAGTGGTACAAGTACAACCGACACAGAACTGGTCCAGTCCTCATCGCGTACCCAGACTTCGACGAGGCGTTCCATGGGCTCGGACATTTCCTCGCCTGCGTGACGGTACTGCAGTGTGCGCAGCACTGCCTGGTATGTGGCGGGGGTGGCCGGTCCCGTTGTGAGCCATCCATGGGCGGTGCCCGTATTGGAATGAACGGGTCCGTCCGCAACCACGGCCAAGCCAAAGCCTTGCGCCAAGCCGATATCCAACGTCAGTCCTTCTTCGCTCTCATCCACGGGGTTGAGAAGGCGCACGCCAAGCTCAACGATTGGAAAATCACCCGTGTCTTCGTCCTGTATGACAGCCTCGGGTACCAGAACGACCGCCGCGCCTTCCTCCACAAACGGGTTGGAAGAAGCGTTCTGCTCCAGCACGGACCCCGCCAAAAATACAGAGGGTGCTTGATCATTGACTGGCAGCAGCTGAATAACAGCCACGGCGGGCACTGAGCGATGTAAGCCGTCAAACGCCACGGCCGTCACGTTGACGCTGCGGGGCTGCCATTGCGTGTTGGTATCAATGATGGTCAAAGAGCGTAACAGGTCTTGAGCTGAGGCGACGGTCATGGGTGAGTCCACTGAGACCAAACCATACCGCGATGGCACAACAACGGATCCGTTGAGCTGGATTTGCGCCGAGTCCCAAAGGGGAAAGACTTCAAACTCTAGGCTGGCCAACTGGTAGACGGCATTGTCGTCCAAGTCCGTGAGGGTGGCCGAGGCAAAGGGTGCAAAGGCCGGAGAGCCTTCTGACAGCTCGTGCTCAAACAGTAATGGCCAAATTTGCGGCGTCTCGTCGTTGATGGTCGCCACATCAATTGTCACGGTCAAATTGACCACCGCAGACCCGTCCGAAACAGCGAGCACAACGATGCGTCGGCCAGGAGTGGGTTCCACGCCGTGGTGCTCATATTGCACACTTTGCAGTAGAGCCTGAACTGCCGAGAGAGTGGCTGCACCAGAGCAATAGAGGTCAGATGCACCCCCGAAACCCGTACAGACAAACCCTGACGCCGAGTGTGCATCCGCTTTAAGGTTTTCCTCGGAGCCATCCAGATTGCCTTCGAGCACAATGTGAATGACTTCCATGACCGCATCATCGACATCCCGAAGCACGGCGTGGGGTGCGATAGATAAGGGCCCATCGTTCTCGACATAAGATAGGCTAGTTGAGCTGCTGACGCCAACCGACAGCACGGGTGGGTCGTTGACCGGCTGCACAATGACCGTGACGTTGGCCAAGGCAACAGAAAAGGCCGACGACGCCTCAGAAGCGTTGACAGCGTATGCACCTGAATATCCTGTTGTCATGTCCCACGCGCGAACGCGGAGCGCTGCCGCACCGAAAAAGTCTTGATGGGGCACGAAACGAATCCACGCAGCGGGGCCCAATAGCGTAGCTGCTTCAAGGGTGGCATCGGCGGGATAGAAGGCACCGTTGGGTAGGACGTTGCCGAAGAATGGCGTCCAAGCAGACTGATTGCTGAGGCGATACTGCCAAGTGCCCGTGGTACAGGCACTGCCAACGACGGCCAGTCCCAGCAAGGTGTCGCCGTCCACATCCGTGATACTGCTTACGACGAGCTCTCGCACGGCGCGGCCGGGATTCACGTTAGATGGAAGATCCTCCGCAATCGAGTCCAGCATCAAGTCGTCAAGCAGGACGGGTGCATCGTTCACGGCCAAAACAGTCGCAACAATGCTAATGTTCTCGACCGATGTACTGTCCATGGCGGTCCAAGAGCCACCCAGTGTGGGGGTGCGACTTTGATCCCAGCCCAACACCTGCAGCTCCGCCGAACCGTGAGCATTGAGAGCAGGTGCAAAGCGGACACGAGCATCGGGGCGCAACGCGTCGCCAGCTGACAGCGCGGTCCACAAGCCGTTGGCTGTGCTTTGCACTTGCCAATTCCCTAGACGGTTGTCGACGTGCAACGCAACCGCGCCCAGCACGTCAAGGTTGTCAGCATCCGCAAAACGTGCAGCGGCCATCTCACCAACTACAAAGCCCAGGTTTGCATCGGTGTGCACGTCCTCCAAGATCGCGGCCAGATTCCACGGCTGAGGGGACCGCAAGACAGGGGCGTCGTTGACGGGAAGGACTGATTGTACCACTTCACCCCATGCAAGGGAGTGCGCAGCTGTGCCGCCAATTGAAAGATCTGACGTGTTGACAACTGCCCCCTCCACGCCCATGGTTTGATCCCAAGCCCGCACGCCCAGCGTGACATTGCCGTAAAAGTTTTGGCTAGGTTGGAAACGCAAGCGGGCGCTTTCGCTCAGGTACAAACCAACGACAACGCTTGACCAGTTTTGACCCGCGTCACGGGCTCGCTGCCACTGCCACTCACCGGTACTCTGCGCAGCACCAGACAAAGACGTTACAACAAGGCCGTGGGTGGCGTTGGCATCGACGTCGCCCACTGCAGCAGGACCGAGCAACTCGCCAACTGCTGCACCCAAATTGGCCACCAGCGGCACGTCCTCCTCTACCACGGGCAAGGGTAGCAGAGCGGTCGGATGAAGAACGGGTGCGTCATTGACCGGCAAGACATGCACGCGGATCTCTGCCGTCATGCTGCTCAAAGATCCCGTGGGTGCCAACAGGTCCGACGTTTGCGCCAAGGAACCAACGTGGCGCTCATCCGTACGATCCCAAGCGTGTGCCGAAAAGCTGGCCCATCCCGTGAAGTCTTGGTGCGGTACAAAGCGGACACGCGCGGCAGCACCGAGAAGAAACGCATCACCGGCGACAAGCTCCGGCAGCGACATCCACCCACTGGTGTTGAAGGATACCTGCCAAACGCCATGTGCATTGTCCGCGGCTACTATGGCAGCACCCAGCTGGGCATTGGCGTCCGGATCACTGGTCACGCCCATGAATAGCTGCGCAATAGTGTCGCCAGCTGCAGCCGTATCGTCCTCGAGAAGAGTTGACATGTCAACCACGGTACCAGCTGAGAGCATAGGCGGGTCATTGCGCGCTGTGACATTGATCCAAACAGTCACGACGTTACTCACAGCATTGCCCGAGTCGACGACGGAAAGGTGAGCGGCTCGGAGTTCCGAGGCCACCGGCTCATCTGCAAAGTTGGTGTACAGCAACTGAGCCAAAAAGGCTTGCCAATTGGCCAAGGCCGTGCCTCGAAGATACACACGAGCTGTCGCATTGCTGACTGCACTCTCTGTGTAGCGCGTAGCTGCGGAGGGGTCGGAAAAGACGGATTCACTACCATCGTTTTGCACATTGCTTAGCCACACTCGCAGCTCCGTAAGAACGGCACTGTCCGTGTCCGAGACGAACACGCCTGGGAATAAAGTTACTGACTCGGCGTTTTCAATGTAATTAAGCATGCTCGGGCCCGTCTGCGTCAAGATGGGCGCATCATTGAAAGTTTCGATGGAAACCGTAACACTGCGCACGAGGCTCGTAGCCAAGCCATCTGTGATGCTCACACGTGCCACACGAGGCGTGGAGATGGGCTCATCAGCCAGATTGTAATACATGATCGACTGTAGGACCGCAGCATATGTCTCTACGCTTGCTCGTCCCTGCACAATGAGCCCCAGGGTCGTGTTTGTCACATTCAAACCGTGGGCATTGCCTACGGAGAGGCCTTCCAGGGCTCCGTCAGGTCTGACATTAAGTTGGACTGTCAACTCACTCAAAGTATCGTTGTCCACGTCGAGGACATTGGCGTGCATTGCCAGCACCACAGGCGGCCCCTCCTCAAGAAACGTGACAGCAGTGTCTGTGCCCGTCACCTCGCCGTTGAGATCGACCCAGGGCGCATCGTTCACAGGACTAACTTTGACAAAGATTGTCGCTGGGGCACTTTCGTTACCCGCCGGGTCCGTAACAACAATGACTACGCGACGTACACCACGAGATGGGTTGCGCGTATCCGCATTCACATACTGCAAGCCCTGAAGTAAGTTTTGATAAACAGTCAAGTCCACCAAGCCATGTGCCGTGAGACGAGTGCCGTTGAGCGTGGACGACAAGTTGAGGCCCGCGTCCAGAGCCGCAGCGGCCACGTCTGATCCAAACTCGAGATGCTCGCTGTTAGCGCCGACGTCAAAGTCATCGAGCGTTATGCTCATGGTGACAAGCCGTGCATCATCGTCGTCTTCAATGCGCGCTTCAGAAGTGACAATGGCCGCAGCGGCATCACCTTCGGCGTAGCTGCGGGTCACAGCAATAGCGTGTTGTGTTCCGTTGTGCAGCAAAACGCGTGGTGCGTCGTTCATCATCACAATAGGAACAAAGGCCACAGCCGAGCGGCTTTGATAGTCTGCGTCCTGGACCACGACCTCGATATGGCGTGTGTGATCGGGAGAGGATGGCTCGTTTGCAAAATTGCGGTAAGCAACATGCGCCAAGACTTCGGTGTAAGTAGCAGGCGCGGCGGGCCCCACCAGCTCCATTCGCTTCATTGAAGCGTTGTACATCAAGTCAAGCCCAGCAGCAGTCGCGACGGTGGGGTCTAGGAAAAGATCTTCTTCAACATCAAACCAATTTGTGATCACCAGCGTGGCGCCCAGAATAGGAAAGCTGCCCGAATCGGCGTCAACAACACGCACACCGCTATCGGCCAAACTGACTGCTGGGCCCTCCTCAATCATGGGGCCCAGCTCCACGGAGGAGGCATTGGAGCCAAAGTAAACCTCCGGTTGCTGGTCGTTGATGAGAGATATGTTGAGCTCTACAGTCAGCCCGTTGGACCAAGCTGCACCGTCGTAGACCTGGACTGAAACCTGTCGCGGACCGGGGGTCGGCTCATCCTCGGAATTCAGGTAGGCCACGGTGCGAAGGACTTGCTGATACTCTGCTACTGATCCGGGACCAGAAAGACGCAACTGCGCACTACTAGCATTCCAATTGAAAGATAATTGGGGCGGCAGAAGGTTCACAAACAAAAGAACTTCGTTATCATTAGCGAGCATTGCCTCGGTTGATCGGGAGAGCGTAATCGTGGCCTCGTGCATCATGAAACTGGGATGCTCATCAGCATCGGTGAGGATCACATCGGGGACCAGCACGAGTGGCGCGCCGCTCTCATTGAAGATCCGAGGCGTGCAGTAGTGTTGATTGTTCTCAAAACCAAACGTGTCGGCACAGCGTAGTGCGTCCACATAGCACCAGGGCCGTGTCGGCAGGAAGCCAGGGTGCACGTCGCATTGCAAAGCAGTGCATTGACAAGCTCCCTCATCAAGGACAGGAGCGTGCTCATTGATCAGCGTTACGTTGACCAAAAGCTCCAAACCAGTTCCGTTGATCTGACCGTCAAAGGCCACGACGTCAAAGGCGCGTACGCCTGGCGTGGGCTCGTCGGCATCATGCGTGTATTGCACGGCACGCAGCAACCCCGTAAACTCACTTGTCGTCAAATTGCCGCTTACGGTGAGTGTCAAGCGGTTTACATCCAGGCTCACGGAGCAAAACGTTGAGCCGGGCACACAGGGTTCCACTACAAGCTGTTCGTCCACTGTGGCCGCCAAGCCCCCCACGTTCACCCGGAGGTGCTCGGTGGCGTCAGGCACCAAACCGCTCACAGTTAGGCGTTGCAAGTAGCGGTCGTCATCATCAAGTATGCTTAGTCCAATGCCCGGTTCGACAGGTGGGCCTTGTTCGACAAAAGTGGAGAGCTCTCGCGCGGCGCTGAAGTAAGGGGCATCGTTGATAGTTGTCATGGCAATAGTGACAAAACTGGTGGGGCCGCGTCGGGGGCTCGAGTCACCCAGCCACACGGCTACAACGCGTGCTGATTGGGCCGGGTCCCGTCCTGTGTGATCAAAGGAAAGCGCTTGCAAGAGCGAGACGTACTCGGCCACCGTGGCCTCACCCGACACCGCTACCGCGTGGTTTGTTTGCACAACGTCGAGATTCAAAAGCAGGGCCAAAGACAGCGCTTCGTCTGCAATTACTAGTCGGTCATCACTTTCAGGATCGACCAGAGAGGCGGAGAGATTTGTCAACGAGAACAAGTTGTCAAACGCAACCGCAGCGCTGGGCATCAGGGCGATGGCGCCCGCTTGCTCGACATAGTCGACTGAGCCGTTGGTGTTGGGAGGATGTGAATTCACAGCAGGGCTGATGTGCACCAGCAGGGGGACGCTGGACGGAGGACCGACATTTGCATCGGCCACAGCGACGACAACGGTGCGGTTGATGCCATTGGGTCGTGTAGCGGTGTTGAGATACCGAACAGTGCTGAGCACCATCGCGTATGCAGCGCTGCTGTCAGCGCCGCGCAATGTCAATGTGGCCGTGTCGGTGTTGTAGAAGGATGCAATGTTGGGCCGTGTTGCGGCTTTGAGAGCCACAGCGTGTAGCGTGAGGGGGCCGCCCACGACCTGGGATACTCGCAACGTCCAGGTTCCGAACATCCACGAGTTGTTGAAGGCACGCAGTCGGTCTCCAGCTTGGAAAGTCATGCCCTCGGGGTTGGTGCACACAGCATTAATGGTGACAGGACTGTCGGCCTGGTCATCAAACACGAGGAACGATGCGCCCTCGAGGGCACAACGCACGCCGGCCTGGCGAAGAAGACGAACGGTTGTTCCGGCTGGACTAATCAGCTCAATGGTGGCGGATTCAAAGGTAGCGCTGACCTGGCCGTAGAGAACCACGTCAAGGTCGACGATGCGGCCCGTATACGGAACCTCAACGGGCGCGCTGAGTGTCTCTCCCACCGCCACGACACTTGACACCTCAGCCAGGGCCGTTTGGCGCGCGTCAGTTTCGGTGACAATAGCCCAGCTCTTGAGCTGACCAAAGCGGAACATTGCATACGTGTCCACCACGATGATGGTCCATTCACCGTCGCGGGGAAGACCAGCAAAGCTTTCGAGCAACGAAGTGGCTGGGCGCACCAGCCCTTGGTTGCCAAGAGCACAAGCTTCAACGACAGGTGTGCTGGCATCATCGGAGAATACAAGAGTCAGATTGCCCAGTTCACAGGATCCTCGCGCGCGGTTGGAGCTGGCCAGACGGTCCATCAGCAATGCCGTGGTACCAGCATGATAGAGATACACTTGCAGATCACCCACATGCTCGTGAGAAAGATCGACGGATATGGTCAGACGGGTCAAAGCGGCACCAGAGGCGTCACCGGGAGTAGAAGAGAGGGTGATGGTATCTTGGCTACACAGGTACGCGGTCTCATGCTCGCATGCCGTTGTAATGGAGGAGTTGAGACCAAGGTGCCGAGTCCCGATGGAAAGGGCTGGAATGGGAGACTCAATCTCCACGGACAGTGTCTCAAGCGCAGCATCTGGTGCGGGTATCAACTGCACCGTGGCGTTGACCAAGTGATCACGCTCTGGGTCGGTTACAACCACAGTGTCAAAGATGGTCGAAGCATGGGCCCCTTCAACGTAAACAGCACTGCCGGTGACCGCAACGACAGGTGCGTCATTGACGGGCAAGACTGTGAGCTGCACAACTGCAGCTGGGCCGTTGTCCGACAAGTCGGCTACGTAAATATCGATTGTCCGCGCAGCGCTGCTGGGGTCTTGGTCTAGATTCACGTAAGCCAGCGTGCGCAGCACGGTCTGGTATGTTGCAACAGATGCGGCGCCCGTGATGCGTAGCTCTCCTATCGGATCAAAGTCGACGACCAACCCAGCGCCCTGCGTCAACCCAGTATCCACGGACAGGACCTCATACGGCGCAACGTCTCCGAAATCATGCACGTCACTGATGCGCGCTTCGGCAACGGTGATCGTGTCGCCGTCCAGGTCCTCAAGGGTGAGCATGGGATCCACAGGAACGGGCGCAGAGCCCTCAGTGAAGCTGATGCTTGCGTGAGTGGAGACCGTGGGAGGGTTATTAACGGGCACAACATCAATGGCCACGTAGCATGCATTGCTACGTTGAGCAGGCCCCGTTGCACCCGCATCCTGCACCCAAACTGCGACTGTGCGCGTCCACCCAACCGTCATGTCCGGATCTAGATTGATGTAGCGCATTTGGTGCAACAGAGCCAGAGCTTGGCTTTGGTTGAGTGCATTACCGCCACTCACGGCAACCTGGAGCACGCTAGATCGATTTGAACCAGCCATGGTGGCTTCGTCGTCGCCAGCCCAGACCAATCGCTCAGCGCTGCCATCGGCTGCGTTCATAATTTCAGCATGCACGACAAAGAACAAGGAGTCATCGTCATCTTCGAGATGTGCGCCGCTCGCATCGACAAGGGCGGCGCCCGTTGTGCCCTCAACAAACACAGTTGAGCGATTTGCAGCCGACTCGGCCGCGTGGAGCACAAGACGCGGAGGATCGTTCACGGGGCTGATCAGTACTGTGGTCTCAGCTGTAGGACCCCAAGCCAGGCCGTCAAAGGCCCGCACACGTACTGTGCGTGACGCATGCTCGGGCTCGTCGGCACGGTCTTGGTAAGTCACGTTGCGCAGCAAAGTTTGGTAAGCATCCAAGCTGCGTGAGCCTGTGAGCGCAAGCACGCCGTCCTCACTGGCCTGTACCATGCCATCAACTACTGCCTGTAGTGTTTCTGTACCTGCTGCATGCATCAACTCGATTTCAAGCCCAGCCAAGCTGGTGTTGTCAATATCATGCAGAGTAGCACCCAGACAGGCCACCGGGATCGCAGGCCCTTCCTCCACGAAGACAACTTGGCATGACGCCTCACCGGGAGAAGTGAGGTCAACCTCAGGAGGATCGTTCACAGCGCCAAAGTGGATGGTTACCTTGGCTGCAGCCGACGCATCGATCCCATCGTGAGCTACGATCCAAATGACCCGGTTCCTGAGGTCGGGATTGCCAGGATTAGCGTCCCGATGTTCGTAGGTCAAGGACCGCAGGGCTTCTGAAAAGTTGAGGACGCTTGCGGGACCCTGCAAACGTAGCGCCGTGGTGTTGATGTGTACAAGCGTCATGGCATGGCCTACGGCAGTAGCGTACACGTGCTCGCTTGCTGCATCCGGTGCCGAAAGCGCCACCTCAATCCACTCAAGCGTTGCGTTGTCCAGATCCGTCACGTGCGCTGAGGGGTCGATCACAGACACGTTACCGCTGCCCTCACGATACAAAACGTGAAAGTTATCACTGGAGGTACTGTTGCCACTCAGATCCAGATGTGGCGCGTCGTTGCGAGGCTCAATGGCCATGATGAACGTGGCTGTCGACGCGAGAGTTCCATCCGAAATGGTCACGTTGAAGCGCCGCTCATATGGCAGGGCTGGCTGCACAGCCACATTGGCAAAGCGCAAACCTGTCAAGATATTTGTGTACTCGGCCAGGGTCGCGCGACCCGAAAACTCGAGGCGCCCTTCGCGCAATTCCTGTGTGACGAGCGCGGGTAGCGGGGGAACCGTCCAGGCAACCAAGTCTACAGGATCCTCAAAGGCGACAGTCAAACCCTCGAGATGAGAGCCGTCCGAGTCGGCGTCGGCAAGCGAGGCGCTGGGTGCAAGGGCGGCGGCTGCACCATTCTCCACAAAAACATCGGACAAAGTGCTTCCAACAAAGCTTGGAGGTGAATCTGTGACGGGAGTGATGGTGACCACAGCTGTGACGACATTACTCTTGTGCAGACCGTCATGCACCCACATCTCAAGGCTGCGTGCCGCGAGATCGTTTTCAGTCGCCGTTGACCAATACTGCACACCCTTTAAAGCTTCGCCGTAAGCAGACGTGGATGCTGATCCGACGATTGTGAGCCGACGCGCAATCAGATCGTACGAAGATGTGAGGCCCGCGGGCAGCGCCGAGGCGCTAAGACGGTCATGAATTCCGTCACCAGGCGAAGTGAGTGCCACCGTGCCGTTGGTCATATTGAACTCGTCACCATGATCAGCGTCATTAAGCATGACCACAGCCCAGGGCCATACGGCCGCGCCCTCCTCCACAAAAGTGGCATTGGCTACGACCGTGTCCAAGATGGGTGCGTGATCGTTTATCATGCTGAGGCCGAACGTGGTGAAGATGGATGCTGACGGGACGCCGGCGCTATCAAAGGCCCAGCACTCGATGAGGCGATCGCCGCGCGTTGGCTCGTCCTTGGTGTTGACGTATGTCACGGCCTGAAGCAACGCTGAAAGTTGCTCAAAGGATGGCGCCGTCTGCCCTGGCGTCGGTCGGATCTGCATCTCATATGCGGAGCCGTTCGTTGACACTGAGATGCCCACGTTCAGGCCAGCGGGCACAGCAGTCAATCGAAGCGCCTCATCGTGCCAGTCGCGCACCCCACTCAATCTCAGGTCCAAGCCGAGAGCGCGCTCGCTGTCAATGTCCGATACGGTCGCATCGTCAAAGACAATGCAACCAGAGGACCCCTCAAGGCAAGCTTGACGCACCCCGTTTCGAATCGAGTTGGCCACGGGTGCATCGTTCACGGGAATCACCATCACAGTCAAATTGAGGTAGTCGTTGCTGAAGGTACCCTCCTCATCAAAGCTTGCAGGGACAGACGCTTGCGCAAATGCGCTGCCCGAGTGACCATCCCAAATTAGAGCTGTACTCGTCACTGCACTATTGAAATCGCTCACGGGCACAAAACGCAGTCGCGCGCTCGAGGGCAGTAAGAAGACCGCATTACCGGCAACAATGGGAACCGTCTCCCAAGCTGCGCCGATGCTACCATTGGAAAACTGCCATGAACCGTGCACTGAGTGATGATTCACGAGCGCAAGACCGAGATCGTCCCCATCAATGTCTGCGGCACCCAACACGAGGTCTGACACAGACGTGCCAAAGTTGGCAGCCTCGCGTACGTCCTCGATGATGTCATTCAACACGCCAGATGCGCTGGCTACGCTTGGAGCATCATTGTTGGGTGTAACCGTTATCGTCAACTCAGCACTGTCGACTAAAGTTCCGCCGCGACCAAAGTGCCCCAGATCGCTCACGTTGTACCAAATGCGTGCAACACCATGGTAGTTCGGCGAGGGCATAAAGGAGAGGCCTGACGCCTGAGCTGAAACGACGCTGGTGTTGCCCCGCAAAAGGAAGCTAGCAGCCACTGCGGTGGCATTATGGACTAAGCGCCCACCTTCAGCTTCAACGAGTAGCTCAACTCCACCGCTAACATCTGCGTCAATGTCGAATACCACTGCAACTGGCAATGGTGCTTGGCGGTCCTCACCAACACTGATGGCAACGCTGCTGAGATTGACACTCGGTGGATTGTTGACAGGTTCAATCATGACCACAAGTGTCAGGTTCGCCGCACTTAGCGCTGTAAGAGCTGGACCTGTTGGTAAAATAGACTGCCTGCCAGCAACCAAGGTGGATTGGTCCCAGCCCACGAGGGTCAGCTCATCTTGGCCAAACGAATAAGCTTTAGGGCGGTACCGGAGCGAGGTACTGGTGTCGATCAAAAGCAAGAGAGGCGAGGTGTCCAGATCCACAATGCCCCAGGCACCGCTGGTGTCGTTGTACAGCTCCCACACGCCCTGCGATGTGGTGCCACCCACAATGCCAAGACCAGGTGGGGACAGGCCGGTGTCCACATCCACAAACCGGGCTGCCAGATCCATGAGGGACAGGTTCAACACATGTGGCACCACTGGGTTCAATTCATCTGTACCCTCCATGACGGTCGCCGCATCCCGCAACACAGGTGCATCGTTGACGGCCACAACCGTCATGTTGATGTTCAACCTCGTTGTCAGCGGTCCGCCGGCACCAAAATGACCAAGGTCGCTTGCCACGACACTTAGATTGGCATAGCCCTCAAAATTTGTCGAAGGCATGTACTGCACGCGGCTAAGAGCAAGATTGAGGGCGCTCAAGTTAGCCACGAGTACAAGGGAATCAGAAATAACACCATCGAGGTGAACAGTGCCCAAGCTAGGCTCAATGGTAAGCTGAAGCTCTTGATTGCTGGCGTCCACATCTGACAGGACAATGCTGGGCAGCACTTGCACAGAGTCCTCAAGCATCGTCAGAGTGGGATCGACACACAGGAGCTTAGGTGCATCATTGACTGGTGTCACGGTCAAGACACCCACCGCAGAATTCAAAGAAACTGAAGCAGAAGAACCGTAGGTCAATTCGGACGCATTTAACCGCACCCCGCTGGCACTGGCTGTTTGATCCCAACCTCGCGCGCGGACCTCAACCTCACCATAATAATCGGTGTTGGGAGCAAAGCGGAGGCGGTCGTTGCCTGCAAGCAACAAGGCCGAGCTCTCCGACACCACGTCAACGATGGTGATCCATGCACCAGCTCCACTCAGCTGATACTCCCACGCGCCGTTGATAGCGGGCAGAGCAACGAAGGCAAGCCCTTGCACTGTGGACTCATCCGGGTCGGTAAAAGGGTGATGTACAAGCGCCTCAAGCATGGAAGTGCCCAGATTGGTGACATGATCTTCGGGCACATCAGCAAAGACGAGGTGCCGGGCGGCATCAACAAGCTGTGGAGGGTCATTTACTGGCAACATGTTTATCAAAGTCGGTTGAGAGGTGGCCACCAAATCGCCGCGAGTGCGCACGGTCACACGAACGCGCCGCTGCACAACACTTGGGCTCTTGTCCGTGTTTACGTAAAACGTGTTGGTTAAGAGTGTTTGCACCGCTGAGAAACCCGTCTCAACGGCGACCATGAGGGTATGGCTATTGTTGCCGGTGAAGAGAGCAGGTGGTGCGCCAGCCACGTAAAGTGACTCGTTCGCTCCATCCATGGGATTCAGCAGCTCCACAACCAAGGTCATCGTCGCGTCTTCCGAGTCGTCGTCGCCCACTTCGACATGACCAGCAATATGCACACCCGCACTGTTCTCCGAAAAGTTGGCAATAAAGGACGCTGTTGGCAGATGGTCGTCGACCGAGTAAGACGGCAGCGCAACGCTTGCATCATGGTGGAGGTCGATAAAGGGAGGATCATTGCGTGGTACGATAGAAATGGTCGTCGTGCGTGGGATGCTGCTCGCCTCGCGATCAGACACAACGAAACGCACCATCCGATCAGCAAAAGAAGGTTCATCGAGTTCATTTATGTAGTGCACGCTCTGCAGCGCGGCTAGATACTCGGTGACGTTTCCAGTGCCGTAAAAGCGTACCACGTGCCCATTCAGGGATGTATTGAAAGATATGGCAGGAGAACTAAAATTAACAACCTGCAGCCGCTCTTCCATACCATCCATGGGATTGAGCAACGATACCTCAGCCCATTCCTGCGTCGTGTTGTCAATGTCAACCAGCGAAGCAGAGGCTGCAACCAGTGGCACAGCGCCGCCTTCCTCCGAAAACAAAACGGAGTGGTTGACACCTGCCGACAAACCGTTGAGATCCAATTGGGCAGGGTCGTTCACAGGACTGAAGACGATTGAGACGGAAGTCGTCGTGCTGTTTCCTTGCGCATCAAAGGCCGCAACCTCGACTGTGCGCGTGTTGACACGAGGTCGCCCAGGCAGAGCAAGAGTATTGATGTATGTAGCAGAGGAGAGGGCTTGGGAAAACTCGAGCAATGTGGCTGGGCCTGAGAGAACGATGGAGTGTGCGTCCGCAATGACTGTGATATTTGAGGACAAGGGACCGATCTCAATGCGTTCGGCCAAGCCATCTGTCGCGTCGAGCAAACGAAGCCAAGCGCTCTCGAGCAAGGAGTCGTCAATATCAAAAAAGGCGGCGCCAGTCATGAAGATGGGACGCTCCCCGTCGCCTTCCACGTAACGCCAGGCAGCGTTGAAGTTCGGCGAGCTTGGGTCGGCATCAAAAAACGGTAGGTCGTTGACCATGTCAATGGTGAGGTTCACGCGGGCCGGCACACTGACGTGTGCGCCATCGTCCACCGTCACCACAACACTGCGTGAGGCTGCCCCATCGGCGCCCAGCGAATTCACAGCCGCTCCCGAGGGCTCGTCTGCCCGATTAATGTACGACAGCGACCGCAACACGCCCTCCATCTCGCTCACGCTCAGCTCTCCCCGAACGACAAGCTCGTAACCAGTCGCATTATACGCCACCGAGTACAGGGCACCACCGTCGGCCACGCGCAACTCCTCCAGCGCCCCGTCCAGGCCATCCTCGATCCGCGCACGCAGCTCAACCAATTTCAACGCACCACTGTCCGCATCTGTCACCGTCGCAGACGCAGCCAAACTCGTAAACGTCTCTTGCTCCTCCACAAATGTTGCCGCCGCATCCAGCGCGACACCGCTCAACAATACCGCCGGCCGTCGGTCGTTGATGACCTCCACCACCAGCGAAAACACCGCCGGGCTTGATGCAAACACCCCGTCAAACACAGACGCCGTCACCTCACGCACGCCGGGCGTGGGCTCTGCGCCGGTATGATTGTATGTCAAACTCGCCAGCACTGCCGCATACGTCGAGACGCTGTCCGCGCCACTCAACACCAGCTCACGCGTGCTGGCATTGTACATCGCCTCCACGTTGCCCTGGGACACAACGCTCAACGTCTCTGCTGCGCCATCCACGGCACCTGCTGTCAACGCCACAGAAGCCGCCTCAAGCATAAACACGTCATTGTGATCCGCGTCGTGCAACGCAAACGCCGTCCCGTTCACCAATGTCACAGGCCCTTGGTTCTCCACGTAAGCCGCCGGTGCATCACCCATCACCAATACGGGTACATTGTCATTCACTGGCTCAACCGTGACCACGATCCAGGCCGGTGTGCTCCAAGCAGTTCCATCAAACGCAGTCACCATCAAGACTCGCTCTGCCAGGGTCGGCTCCAACGCCGTGTTATTGTACTGCAGCGATCGCAGCGCCGTCTCCAGTGCTACCATTTGATCATCTCGCTGTGCCAGATTCGCATAATCAGGCGGGTGTGAGGCGTCTGACGCGTTGTTGCCCACCTGCAAACGCAGATGTACCATGCTCGCGTTCCGTGTCTCCGTCACGAGCAAGCCAGGCACGCCCTCGTCCACCAGCAACTGCTCGGCCGCGCCATCCATCGGGTTCTGCAGTGTCACGTCCACAAATTGCAGTTGGTAGTGATCAACGTCTGTCAGTGATAGTGCCGACGCATTGACCACCGACACGGCACCGGCCTCCTCCACAAAGGCAGCACTGTTGTTGACCCCGAGCGCACCCTGCAGTTGTACCACGGGCGCGTCGTTGACAGACAACACTGGCTGCGTGAGGACTGTTTGATCCTGGCTAAAGTACCCATGCTGAACAAAGGTTGTGTCTACATTGCTGTCTTCAACCGTGCCTGAACCACGCTGGTCCCAGGCCTTGAGGGCCAGGGAGGCATCGCCATAAAAGTCTGGTCGAGGAACAAAGCGGACCTTGGCGTTCAATGGCAACAGCAAGGCAGATGTTTCGTTGCGTAGATCTGAGATAATCTTCCACATGCCTCCCAAGGAATATTGCCAGGCTCCATTGTGAGCATCGACTGCGACAACAGCAATCCCAAGTGTCGTGTTGTCATCGACGTCATGCGTACGGTTGCCAACAACGCTGGCCAAGAGGTGACTGAAATCGCCTTGGCCGTCTTCTGGGAATGCCGGCAGTGTGACCGTGCCTTCCTGCATGAGCGGCTCATCATTCACCTCAAGAACGTGGACGGGCACGGAGCAATATTCCAACGAAAAAGCTGGGACGAAGGTGGGTGTTGCACTGAGGTTAATGAACCCGACTTGAGCAGATGTACCCTGAGTCTGATCCCAAGCGCGAAAATGGAAACGGCCTTCACCATAAAGATTTAGACCCGGGTTCATTCGCACTCGAGTTTCGTTGTTAGCCGGTAAAAGGAAAGCCTCGCCCATGGTCAAGTGAGGCAAGGCCTGCCACGAAGACCCATTATCAGTCGAGTACTCGAGGGTACCGAGGTGATCAACGCTGACATTGAACAAGGCGACGCCAGATGCTGAGGCCGTGTCATTATCCCACGTCTCAGCAACCAGATGATTTATCGACACACCGACGTTCAGTGCGGCATCGGCGTCCTCGAGTACGGCAAGAGGTTGCGGGCAAGCCAGCAAGACAGGCCGGTCGTTGACAGGCTGAATGGTGATGCACACCGATAGAGTGTCGTTACCAAAAGCAGCGTCTGTCTGCGGGGTGCGCGTGTCGATGGCCGATCCGGGCGCGGCATTGTCCGTCTGATCCCAAGGGAGTACCTGCAAGCAAGCGGTGCCGTACGCGTTGGCATACGGCACCAAGCGAACCGTTGTGTTATTTGCCAAGGCGAGAGCAATGGCGGCGGCCGGCGTGGCACCCATAAGAGACTCCCAAATGCCTTGCTGTTTGAACTCCCAGGTACCTAAATTCTTATCGGCATTCACGACGAGCATGCCCGGCACGGACTGATCCGTCAACTGCTGATTCTGATGTAACAGCAAGTCATCATCTGACCATGCCGAAAGCAGCATATCTGCAAGCAAATCACCTTGGTTGAACTCTTCAGCGATATCTTCATAAATGTCGGACAGGTTGCGCGCAGCACTCGCCAAGAAGAAAGGTCGATCGTTTACGGACTGCACCACGACTTGTGCTGAAGCAATATGTGAGCTGAAAGCACCTGTGCCGTCATGTGGCGCAGCCGATACATTTGCTGTGGTGTATGCAACTCCTGTCGTCTGGTCCCAGGCTCTAAAGTTGATTGACGCTGAGCCATGGTAATGCTGGTGTGGCACGAAGCGAACGAAAGCCGCCGAGGGTAGAAGCAAAGCATGTCCACCGTCTGGATCACCCACCCCAGCCCACGTGCCGTTTGGCATCTTGTACTGCCACTGACCGTGCATGTTGTCGGCAGCAACAATACTCACACCACAGAGAGCATTGTCATCGACGTCGTCGATATCTGGACACACTTCAGCAGCCAGAGCTAGGCCGGTATTGTCAGAAGATGACACGTCCTCTGAAAGCATGGGTAAAACAAACGTCAACGCCTTTAACGTAGGTGCGTCATTGACGCGCGTGACGTAGACTGTTGACTCGATGCGATTGCTGCGCCCGCCCTGGACATCAGTCACGACAAGGCTGACGTTTCGTGGGCTCGCTGACGAAGGAGCCTGATCTGAATTGACGTAGGCCACTGCCTTGAGTGCTGCAGCGTAGGCTGATGCTGGTGCAATCATAGCAATCGTCAATTGCGCGGAGGCGTTTGTCATGAATGTCTGGACGGCTGGGTGAGCACCGAGTAGCACGAGATGCTCGTCGCCCGTATCCAGAACGTTTTCGATTGTGATGAGCGCGAGTTGCATGGCAGTGTCATCATCATCTTCCAAAATCAGTTCCTGGTCAAACAAGAGCACGGGGGCACCGTCCTCGATGTAGTCCACTGATGCACTAGCATTCAGCAGGCGAGGAGGATCATTGATCATCACGATCTCAAGAGCCACAGTGCGTGCAACCGAGACGGCCAGGCCATCCGATACGCGCACTTCAATGACCCTCGAAAAGGGTGCAGCAGGCTCGTCTTGAGAATTGACAAATGCCGTGCCCCGCAACGCTTGCAGATAGTCGGCTACCGTGCCGGTACCAGAAACGGTCAACCGCGCCAATGACGGGTCCCACACTGCGGTCAGGCCAGAGGGAGGCGAAGCACTGAGGAGCTCAGCACCCATGTCGGGGGAGTCCACAATGGACAGCTGCAGCCAGCTGAGTGTGGCGTTGTCACTGTCACTAAGATTGGCGCTTGGGGCGAGGAGGACGGGCGCACCCTCCTCTATAAAGGCAACAGCGTTATCAAAACCCACGAGCAGACCATTCAGGTCGAGACGGGGTGGGTTGTTGATACGTACAAACTCCACCTCCACACTAGTGACCGCAGTGCCTTGTCCATCGTTGACTGTGATCTCGAAGACGCGAGCGCCTGCCGACGGGAGCAAGGGGTCGACAACCCCGTTAAAGTACGTGACGCTGCGAAGCACCGCATCAAAGTCAGCCAGCGGGGCTGGTCCTTCAAGACGAACGAAACTGCCGTTGTTAAACGCCGAAATGATTGTTCCACTCGTTGAAAGATTGAGGTATTCCATGGGAAGGTCACCCAGTCCAGTTGCGGCAATGGTGACATCAGCAAGAAGACTGTCATCAGCATCGTACAGCCAGGCATCAGACGATAACAGCGAAAGCGCTGCAGATTCCTCGACAAACACGATGAGATGGTCAACGCCAGGCATGGGCCCATTGGCATCCAAGACGGGAAGGTCGTTGACCATGTCAATGGTGAGGTTCACGCGGGCCGGCACACTGACGTGTGCGCCATCGTCCACCGTCACCACAACACTGCGTGAGGCTGCCCCATCGGCGCCCAGCGAATTCACAGCCGCTCCCGAGGGCTCGTCTGCCCGATTAATGTACGACAGCGACCGCAACACGCCCTCCATCTCGCTCACGCTCAGCTCTCCCCGAACGACAAGCTCGTAACCAGTCGCATTATACGCCACCGAGTACAGGGCACCACCGTCGGCCACGCGCAACTCCTCCAGCGCCCCGTCCAGGCCATCCTCGATCCGCGCACGCAGCTCAACCAATTTCAACGCACCACTGTCCGCATCTGTCACCGTCGCAGACGCAGCCAAACTCGTAAACGTCTCTTGCTCCTCCACAAATGTTGCCGCCGCATCCAGCGCGACACCGCTCAACAATACCGCCGGCCGTCGGTCGTTGATGACCTCCACCACCAGCGAAAACACCGCCGGGCTTGATGCAAACACCCCGTCAAACACAGACGCCGTCACCTCACGCACGCCGGGCGTGGGCTCTGCGCCGGTATGATTGTATGTCAAACTCGCCAGCACTGCCGCATACGTCGAGACGCTGTCCGCGCCACTCAACACCAGCTCACGCGTGCTGGCATTGTACATCGCCTCCACGTTGCCCTGGGACACAACGCTCAACGTCTCTGCTGCGCCATCCACGGCACCTGCTGTCAACGCCACAGAAGCCGCCTCAAGCATAAACACGTCATTGTGATCCGCGTCGTGCAACGCAAACGCCGTCCCGTTCACCAATGTCACAGGCCCTTGGTTCTCCACGTAAGCCGCCGGTGCATCACCCATCACCAATACGGGTACATTGTCATTCACTGGCTCAACCGTGACCACGATCCAGGCCGGTGTGCTCCAAGCAGTTCCATCAAACGCAGTCACCATCAAGACTCGCTCTGCCAGGGTCGGCTCCAACGCCGTGTTATTGTACTGCAGCGATCGCAGCGCCGTCTCCAGTGCTACCATTTGATCATCTCGCTGTGCCAGATTCGCATAATCAGGCGGGTGTGAGGCGTCTGACGCGTTGTTGCCCACCTGCAAACGCAGATGTACCATGCTCGCGTTCCGTGTCTCCGTCACGAGCAAGCCAGGCACGCCCTCGTCCACCAGCAACTGCTCGGCCGCGCCATCCATCGGGTTCTGCAGTGTCACGTCCACAAATTGCAGTTGGTAGTGATCAACGTCTGTCAGTGATAGTGCCGACGCATTGACCACCGACACGGCACCGGCCTCCTCCACAAAGGCAGCACTGTTGTTGACCCCGAGCGCACCCTGCAGTTGTACCACGGGCGCGTCGTTGACAGACAACACTGTCGCGACGATATGCACTTGATTCAAGCTGAATGCACCATTGCTGCTGTATCTGGTGTCGGCCCCTGGCGCCCACGGGGCGCCGCTCGTCTGGTCCCAGGCCTTGAGGGCCAGGGAGGCCTCGCCATAAAAGTCTGGTCGAGGAACGAATTGCACAGTCACGTTGTGTGACTTCAAGGGTATGAGGAGGGCATTTGTCTCGCCAACGTTCTCGATGAGCAAACTGCTAGAGTTGCTGAGAGTCGCATACCAAGCCCCGTTTGCTGTATCAGCAGCAACAATGGCCACACCGCGCAGAGGCTGCAGGTCTGGCTCGGTGATGAGAGGGAGACAAAGGGTGTTCGAATCAGCATTCACAACTTGACCATCCTCATCAACAGCAGGCAAGGAGATATTTGTGGCAACAAGCAAGGGAGCATCGTTGCTGGCCACAACAGTGAATGAAACGTTCAGGGCGTTGGACCAAGCTCCAAACTCGTCCATGACGCGAACGCTTACGTGGCGCGGAGCCTCATGAGGAGCGTTTGCCAAATTAACGTATTGCAGACTGGCAAGTAAGGCTTCAACCTCCGCTCCCGATCGCGCACCTGTCAGCGTCAAGCTTAGTGCGTCACTCTGGCCCTGGCTTGTCATATTATTAATCGAGAGCACCTCGTGTAGATCGCTGTCGAGCAAAGGGCTCAACGCAATGCTGATCACCGTATAGGTGTCTCCATCATCGTCCTGGGCAACAACTCCAGCTGTAAACAAAGTAATGGGACCAGCGTCTTCCACAAAGCTCGAAGGATTGACACTAGCAGTGGTCAAGCGTGGGGCATCATTCACCGACACCATCTCAATCATGGCGTAACGTGAGACGGATGTCGCATTAAGCACATCAGTGACTTGGATTTCCACGGCACGAGTCGAAAAGTTGGGTTCGTCTGCAAGATTAAAGTAGCGCACTGAGCGCAAAATGCTGGAAAACTTGACCGGCGTTGCTTCACCTTGCAGGGTGAGCGTGTAGGAGGCCTCATTATAGTCTATGGTAAAGTTGAGCGCCTCCAATTCAGACAGCAGCGTCGCGTTATCGGTGTCAAAGCCCTCCAGATTCCCATCAGCGCCGTTGGTGATGACAAACTCGATACGTTGCAACAGCGGGCTGTCAATGTCCATGACGGTCGCATCGGCCGCTGCAATGGCAATTGGGCTACCTTCCTCGATGAATGAGGTGGCAAAGTCAAATGTCTCATCCCCCGGGCTGAGATCCACAATAGGGGGGTCATTGACCGTATCAAAGTCGAGAAAGATGACAGCTGTAGAGGCGTTGAGGCGACCATCAGAGACAGCCACGTGTACTTCACGTACCCCCGCACTAGGATTTCCGGGATGCGCGTTGGTGTGAGTGTATCCGAGAGTCCCCAGCGCATTGGCATACTCCGTCAAGCTTGCATTGCCAGATAACACGAGCCCGTGATGATAGGGGTGCACGCTGACAGTCGCAGTCTCATTTATCCAAATCATCTCCTCCGATCCATCGGGGGCGTTGAGCAGGCGCACCCACGCCGATGTCAAGGTGAGGTCGTCGTCATCGACAAGCGTGACCCCATCAACAAGGAGTAGCATAGGACCCCCGCCCTCAGCGTATTGGCTGTACTTGTGAATGCCTGTATTTAGGGGATCCAAGTCCAGCTGTGGGGCGTCGTTGACCGATTGTATGGTTACAGTCACAAAAGCAGGCTCCGAGGCCAGAGAGGCATCGAAAGCGGTACAATTGATGGTGCGCATCCGGGGATAGGCGGGCTCATCAGCATAATTGAAGTACGCCATGGTCGACAAGGCTGGCTCAAACTGCGCCGGCATGGCTGGTCCCTCCCAGATAATCTCGTGAGAATTGTTGCCAGCCGCTATGGCCACACTGCCGGTGTGGTTACCGGCGATCAGCCCTTCCGACGCACCATCAAGAGCAGCAAGCTGACACACGACACGATGTAGCAGGCGTGGATACTGCCCAGGCTCACCGCTGTCCGCATCAGTGAGACGTGTGCCACCAGGCAGTACATCAACAGCAGTGCCCTCCTCAATAAAAGTGACCGAGCCATCGCTGGAATTTGACACGGGATTGAGATCTAGCTTGGGGGCTTGATCATTGATCAGGCGGACGGTAACAACCACCTGAACTAGGTTGCTGACGTGAGCCTGATCAGTGAGGGTAATAGCCACGGTACGGTTTGTAGGCGACGGCTCCTCAATCATCGAAACTAGCGTGAGCGTGTTGAGCAGGGCTTCGTATACCTCAAGCTCAGCTTGGCCCTGAATTGAGAGTGTGTGTGTATTGTTGTCGTACATCAGAGCGAGTGAAGGGGCTCCTGCAGACGCGTTGACAACAAGACGCTCAAATGCGGCATCCGGGCTACTCAGAACAGCTGTAGCTGCAGTCATAGGGAAAAGATCGTGCACGTCCGCATCCGTGGCTGCCAGTGAGCCTGCGAGCACACTTACAACACCCGAATCCTCCACCAACTCAACGACCGATTGCGTCAGTGCGAGCACAGGCGCATTGTCGTTGACGAGTGAAACAGCGATTGAAATGTGAAGCGGTGCGCTTGCCAATCCCTGGGCGTCGTAGACCACGATCGTAACGTTCCGCGAGCCTGCAGTTGGCTCATCTGCCGCGTTATGGTAAGCCAAGGCCTGAATCAGCTCCGAGGCTGACTCGTGAGTGGTGGCCATGCCTGTGACGTCGTAGTCATAAACAAGTGCATCTCCAACGAGTGAGGTGTTGCTGGCCACGATACCAGCTCCGTTTAGAAACGTGAGCACCTCGGCCGACCCATCCAGCGGGGGCATAATGCTGACAACAATGCGCGAAAACGCAGTGTCATCCTCATCAAAAATCGCTGCCTGAGGAGCTAGCGCGGTGGCGTTTGCATTCTCGGTCCAGGAAACCCGAGGCCCTGCCCCAAGCAACCGCGGATCCAAGATGTGGGGTCGGTCGTTGACGGGCACCATGCTCACACGAATAAAAGCTTGAATGGAGGGGAGACCCGCAGCATCGTTCAGTTCGACTGAGATGAGACGCTCAGTGCCTGTCATGTTCTGCGCAACGTTATCATATTTCAATGAGGCTAGCAGGGCCAGGTAGGTCGTGATGGGTGCCACGCCTGACGCAAGCATGCTGTGCGATCCGCTCCCGGTGACGGACACGGCGCCCCCAGTAGTGGTTGCATCGAGAGCCACAGATTCATTGGTGGCGTCAAAGGCATTCTCGATGCGCACCGTGGCGCTCTGGATGAGATCGTCAGCGTAGCCATACAAGCTATTTGAGGATAGCAAAGAAGCAGGGCCGACGTCCTCCGAATACGTCAAAAAACGATCGCGCTGACCACCCAAGCCAGTGCCATTTAGGAAAAGCAGGGGAGCATTGTGCATGCTAACAAAGGCAATGGCTGGTGCAGAGCTGTTGCTGGCATCGGTGGCCACGATGCTGATGTTGCGTGTGACATCGGTTGGTACTGTTTGATTGTTTACATATACCAAGGAAGAAAGCAGCAGAAGGTAGGCTGCAGCCGTGTCACGCCCCGTCAAAGACAGCAGGCCCGTCGCGGGCGAGAAACTAGACTCAATGTTGGGACCTACATTTGAACCAGGGCCGCAATCCATCCATTTGTGAGGCTGTACCACATCATGGCACTCAAAACAGGCGCCAAAAAGAAGAAGCCAGTAGAGGCCAATAGGACAGAGCAAGAAATGGGAGTTGAGCCGGCAAGCAAGAACGGGGCAGCACACAAACCAAACGAGGGGAAAAAAAAAAAAAAAAAAAAAAAAAAAAAAAAAAAAAAAAAAAAGAGAAAACCCCCACGTCAGAGGCCGACAGCGATGGCAAAGAATACGTACGTAGTTTGAATCTGAGTTGCGCCAGATCCAGGGTACCGGCAGCCGCAGTCGTCAACCGAAGGGTCCAAGCACCAGTTGCCACCTGCTCACTCACCAGCGCTGCTCCAAACCCAACGTCCAGCAAGGCTCTAGCGCCATGCAAACAGACCGACGCATTGTCATGCACGCCAGCACTATCGAAATAAAGAGCTGTCGCGTCGAGGCCACAGTTGTCAACAGCAGCCCACAGCGGCACAATCACCCCTCTGGGACTCTCCAATTCGAGAACCATGCCATGTGCGTCATCGGTGCTAAGCTGGACAAAAATGTCCAAGTCCTCAACCAGACCCGTTTCGACCACGTTGAAGATCAATTCCATGGGGCTTTCGCTAGCAGAAAATGGCGTAGCTTGCTGGGTATACGTCGTGCGAGAGCCCGTGGCAACGACAATCCCCCACGACACGAACGTTCCAACCGAGAATCCCGTGTTGGTGTCGTACACCTCCAGAGTCCAATCTCCGCCAGCCAAAAGCCCAGCATATTGCGCCAAATTGTTGAGCGGTAGGAAAGCACCGCGAAGATTGTTGGCACATGTGGTCTGAATGGCCGTTGCAGCATCGTCGGTCAAGACAACGCTTTGATAGTTGGCGGCAGAGCAGAAACGATTGACCCCTGTCTGCGACGGATCAATGACGTTGGACAGCAGGGTAATCCGCCGGGCCTCGTGAACCAGATACACCACCAGGTCATTCAAGTTGGGGTGCTCAATAACCATGTGTACGGCCACATCAGCGACCGTTTCGCCGGCGCCGGCCGGGAGGGAGAGAGTGGCCTTGACGCAGTGACCTTGCACGCCGCAGCTTGACGTGATGGGAGTGTTAACAGCCATGCGGTCAGCCAGCATGATTCCAACCGAGGGTTCCTCGTACGTCATGACTAGCCACTCTGCTGGTTGATCCAGAAGCGGATCGATTTGCACATCCACGCGCTCCAACAAATCCTCCTCTGGATCGTACAAGAGAGTGGTCGCCGCATTCATCAGAGGCACGCCCGAGCTACCCTGCAGATGCACTGTAGCATGATCCAGACCCACCGCGTCTGCGCCATTGAGATCGATGACTGGCGCATCGTTGCGACTTGAAATGTTGACGCGCAGTTGAAGGGCCATCGAGTTCAACGCGCCGTCCGAGACCTGGACCTCGACCAGGCGCTGGACATGAGAGGGATTGGCGTCCGTATTTTCATAAGTCAGCGTGGACAGAACGGACGTGTAGGTTGCCGTGCTGCCAGGCCCGCTGAGGCGCAGAAGACCGTTGACGCTGTATGAGAAAGCGAGACCGCTGCCGGTGGTGTTCACGGCCAGCAACTCTGGCTGTACCACATCGCGGTCAACTGGATTGAGCAGTACAGCTGTGGCCTCGGTGAGCATCAAGCTGTCATCATCATGAACCGACAAGTCCTCGGCGATGAACACAGGCCCGCGACCCTCAAAGAAGATGGTGGCGCCGCTGCTCTCAGCCAATGGACTCCTGACAAAGGGGGCGTCGTTGATGGGCTGAATGTCCAAGTGAGCGAAACGCGGTTCCGAGGGAGCCGCGGCCTCGGCAATAGTTGAAGCATCACAAATCACCACCTTCACGATGCGTGATGCAGTCACTGTGGGATTGTTGGACGAATGAACGTAAAATACAGACTGCAAAGCTAGGGTCCAGTCGGCAAGGGTGCCGTTGCCAGACAAAAGTACCTCGGTGCTCCTGTTGCCCGAGATGGATAGACCCGACAGAGCCGTGCCCGCCGCATAGAGAAACTCGTCCGAGCCATCGAGTGGATTCAGCAGTGTGACAATGGCTCGCGACAGACGCGCATCATCGTCATCTTCAATCAGCGCGCCAGGACCCGCCACAGCGACGTTGAGGGCTTGTTCCTCATAAGATGTTGAGTAATTGCCGGAAGGGTCGGTGCCCAGGCTCAAACGGGGCGGATCGTTGACAAACTGAATACGCACAAAGCTACTGGCAGCGAGGCCCCGAGTCAAGGCATCGTCGGCAATATAATGCAATTGCCGCACTACGTCAACCGGCTCGTCGGCCTCGTTGAAATACTCGATGCGCCGCAATGCCTCGGTGTATTGCGCCAACGACGCTCGACCAGTCAAGTTGAGTACGTGGCCCGCACCGCTAGACGTGATGTCGAGGCCAGACGCGTTCACTCGGAGGCCCTCGGCAGCACCATCAGGTGCCCCCAAAAGCGTTATGGTCAGTGCGACCAAGGTTGTATTGTCCGCGTCCAGGACCGAGGCGTTGCCCAAGACAACATGTACGCCACTAGATTCCTCGCGGAAGGTTGCCGTAAAGGGCTGACCATTGGGCGCCCGTAGCCGGAAGAAGGGGCCATCATTTACGCGCTGGAACAGCAGCATCGAGTGTGCCGCATTGCTCTCCAGCGCACCGTCGGACACGCGCAATTCAAACTGACGAGGACGGCCGTCCGGTAACCCGGGTCGCGCAACAGCGTTGCGATAACGTGCTGTCTGTAAAACCCGTCGATAGTCCTCGAGCGAAGCACTACCTGTAAGGTGAGCCACCCCAAAAAATTCCACAACATCAAACTCTTGGATCACAGGCTCTGCGGCAAACGACACGTTTGTGGCGTAGTAATATGCACCACTGCGGCTTTGCAAAAGGGTGAGCAAATCGCCCGAAGCCACGATTGTTGACACGTCAGCCGCAAGCTGAGACGTAAAATTATCGGGGACAACCAGCACGAATGACAACGCAGTAATGGGTTCACTCGCGCTGGAATTGACATCCGCCGTTGCTGTGGCGTTGGTGACCTCGATCGATGCTGATGTCACACCCAACCGAGCTCCCAAAAGCTCGCTCCAAACCGCAGCCCAGGTAGCTTGGGCCTCAGCACTGCTGCGCCAAGAACTCGGCGCAACACCGGGTACGCGCAATGTGGCGTGTGCGGCAACGCGACCTTCGCCCGGCCCACGATTGTGATTGACAAGGGCTTCGTAAACGTACATCAAGCCCGTGTCTAGAACATCAAGCTCAATCGTCTCCGCCTCAAAGTCGGGCGCGTTGATGAGGCGTAGAGTCGCGTTGGTAAGCATCAGATGATCTTCATCCGTGATGGTCAAGGAACCGTTTGGAAAAATAAGGGTGCCATTGTCGCCCTCCACGTACAGGCCCTCGATCTCAACACTTGGAGGAGGTCCGACGAAAATCTGTGGTGGGTCATTGATGAAGATGATGCTGAGGTTCACGGCAGCTGGACTGCTTGTAAAGGCTTCATCAAAAGCCTGCACCTGAATCAAACGCCCGCTGGCATCAGAAGGTCGGTCTGCAAGGTTGGTGTAGCTCAGACTGCGAAGAACTGAGGTATATTCGGCCGCGGTCGCATGGCCAGAGGCAGTCAGCACGTAAGTTGCCGCATCATAGCTGACCGAGATGTTTGCCGAGCCTGTGGCGGCAAGCTGCTCCAGGACGCCATCAACCCCGTTGAGGATGGTCGCATGGAGCCCGGTGAGAGAGAACGAGCCCGAGTCATGATCAACCACCGCAGCATCGAGCGCTACGAGTGGCACAGCCGTGCCCGATTCTTGAAAGGTGGTGGAAAAGTTGACAACGCCACCGGGGCCGAGGTAGACTTCGGGGGCTTGGTCATTGATGAGGGTCACGTCGACGGCAATTACAACGCTATTGGAGGCATAACTCTCATCCCAGACCTGAATGTGGAGAGATCGGGCCACATCCACGGGCTCGGAAGCGCCATCGTTGTAGGTGAGCGAACGCAATACCTGGGCATAGACTTCGGGATAGGCAGCACCTGTCACGCGCAGGGTGTGATTACCGGCATCATAAGAATAGCTGAGATTTGTGCCCGTCGCATTGACGAGCAGGACCACTTCATCGAGCGCAGTAGACGAAGTGCTGCGCACTTCGACGGCGGCGGCCTGGAGCAGGAAACCCGTGTGGTCGGCATCCGAAACGTTGATAGAGACACCAGTGGAGGCAGAATCAAATATGGCCAGCGGTCCCGTATCCTCGACAACCGCAACGCGTGGTGCGGTTGGAGACAAGGCAAGCACGGGGGCGTGGTCATTGATGGGTGTGATGGTCACCTCGGAATAAAGTGGCTGACTCCAATCCAAGCCGTCAAACACAACGAGCTGCAGCAGGCGAGCGCCCAGCGTGGGCTCATCGGCTTGATTGCGGTATTGGGCTGTCAGCAATGCCTCTGTTAGAGAGGAGATGCTCACCGCGACACCGGTGCGAGGTCGCACGGTGACAGTGAGCTGCGAGCCATTCAAATCAGAAATAACCTGTAGACCTCTGATGCCAAGGGCAACGGCATCGAGTGTAACAAGTTCATCATTGCCATCCCTTGCCCCAGAGAGAATAATTTGCGCCGAGGCCAGGGCAGCATGGTCGGCATCCTCGATCAGCAAGTCGGGCGGCAACACCTGAGTGGCGCCACCGCCTTCCAAGAACACAACGGGGAAAGTACCCCCAAAAGTACCTTGCGTCACTGCAGACGTGACGACTGGCACGTCGTTGACGCTCTCAACCACCAACCGTGCCCTGGTGACATTGGCACTGACAGAGCCACTCGGCGAAAACTCGATGGAGGTCCGCGCCAACTCTGCGTAAGCAGAGCCATCCCAGGCGCGAAAGGCAAGCTCAACCTCGCCGTTGAAGTTGGGCCCAGGCACAAAGCGCATCAGCGCGCGGCCAGGCAAGAGCAAGGCCGAGCTGTCAGACAGATTGCCCAGGGCGGTCCAATTTGAAGCGTCCAGCTGATACTGCCACAGGCCGCCGGTTTGCCCGGTCTGACCTGTCAACCCCACGCCCAGGGGCGAGGAGTCCACATCCGTCGCCAAAGCCACGAGCTGGCTGACGAATATACCAGCAATGTCGTTGGCGGCCGTGTCCTCCGCCACGGCTGGTAGCTGGATCACAGTGTTGGGCAGCATTGGCGGATCATTCACAGGTGTGACCTGGATCACAGCCGCGGCCATGGTCTCACGAGGGCCGGGGCTGCCCGTGTGACCATTATCGTTGGCAGCAATAACAAGATGCACGGGACCGAACATGTTCGGTGCGGGCACAAAGATGAGATCAGTGAGCCACGCAGTGAGCTCGGGAACAGTTCCGTTGAGTTGTAGCATGGGTCCAACAGCGTTGGCGTCAAACACAAACTGGCCAGCGTCCACGTTGAGCGTAAGCGAGAGGCGCCCAGCTGAATCGGCCAGGTCGGCATCGGACACTGAAAGATTCAGCAACGCCAGTGGTGTGTCTTCAGGAGTGCTGGCGTTGGCAATGACCAGCACGGGAGCTTTGTTGACGGCGGCATATGTGAAGGCATCTGAGGCCGACGTTAGCGCGCCAGTGGTGGAATGCACCACAACGTCACCTGTCTGTGGCTCATTAAGTGTCAGCTGTACAGTAATGGCATCGTCCGACGCGTTCAAAACAAGCACAGGGCGGCCGGCCACCTCGACGAGGGACACGTTACCGCCGCCGAGCAAACGCTCGCCCTGGATAACCACAATGTCGCGAACTTTACCCGCGGTGGGCGTCACCTGAGTGATGGCCATCGGTGGTAGGAAGGTGAAGTTGAACTCTGAAGCATAGGCGCCAAAGGTGTCAGCCACAACGGCAATGGGACCCGCGGCAGCAGACACGTCGTGCTCGGGGGGGACGCGCAATTCGAGGCGGTTAGAGCTGGCCGAAATCACGGTCAGATTGGTTGCCCCCGGAACCGTGGCGGACTGGATGGCCGCACCACTGGCCAAGAGATTGCTTCCGGTGACAGTGATGATGGTGCCGCGAAACCCCTGGGAAGGCTCGAAAGCGGTGACGACAGGCGGGGAGGCGTAGCGGAAGGCGTTGTACGTGGTGTGTGTGGCACCGGACGAGGCCACCAGCTCGACAATGCCAGGGGCGGTTGCGACTGCATGACCACTGGCTGTCAGAATCACGAGTGATTCGTTGGCAAAGCGCACGTTAGCCACGGGCACGCCCGCCAGCGTGACGGCGGCGAGACTTGCACCACCGCCCAGCAGATCTCGACCGCTAAGCGTGACACGAGTGCCCATCACACCGACGGAGGGTGCGACTCCTGTAATGAGACCTGGGTGGGTGTAGGCAAAGCCATCGACGGCAATGGCCTCGGCCCCGGTATTGGCACGCAGGATGACGTCACCGGGACCTTGTGAACCGGCACGAAGCACGACGTGCACTTCAGAATCGGACGCATTGAGCAAAGTTGTGGGAAAGCCAGCTACGGTAACGCTCTCGATGTAGTCGCCGCCGTTGAGAAGATGCTCTCCATGGATGACCACTCGAGTGCCTTCGCGACCTGAGGTGGGGGTAACCACTGAGATGTTGCTGGGCTCAACGTAGCGCCACCCATTTGGGATGACTGTTTGAGCGCCAGTGTCAGCTTCAATCACCACATCACCCAAGCCCACTTGTGTTGTAAAGCCAGCTTCCACTACGACAAGGCTGTCGAGTTGAACAACCACGGTGGCGGGAACGCCAGCCAAATGAACGGCAGCAATGCGTGAGCCACCGCCAAAGAGATATTGCCCATTGATGAAGACCCGTGTCTTGTGCTGGCCCTGCGTCGGCGAATTTGTCACGACGCGAGACTGAGGGAGATAGGACCACACGGTGCGGAGTAGCGCAAGTGCGCCCGTGTCAGACTCCACCGTGACGTTGAGGTTGGGCGATCCGTTGAGTGGACCAGCTGCGGCACGGAGATGGATGCTCGTTGAAGAGGCATTGACAATCTCGGCCGGCGTGTCTCCCAATCGCACGCTGACAATGGTGCTGCCGCGACCAAAGAGGCGCTCGCCCTGAACCTGGAGACGGGTACCAAGCTGACCCTCCATGACGGAGAGACTAGAGATGTTGCTTGGCGGACCGTAGGTGAAGGAAGCGTTGGACAGGTTGGCCACCAGAGCGCCAGTGTCGGCTTCGATAACCACGGCTTCAGGGAAGCCCCCCAATGCCAGATTGGAACCGAGGTGAGTTGGAGGGCTCGCGCGCACAACAATCTCCTCATTGGACACATTGACAGGAATGGCATGAATGGGGCCAAAGCGTACGGCATGCAGGGCAGCACCGTGACCCAAAAGCGAGACACCACGCAGCGTTACAAAGGTGCCCCATTGGCCGCTGTATGGTGTGATGGATGCAATGAACCCCTCGGGCAAATAGCGAAAGCCCTCGGCCTTGGCCACACGGGCGTGCGTGTCGGCAATGAGTTCGACCAGCGTGAAGTTGACCGAGGTCGGAGCTGTTTGAGCACGAACAAGCACTTCTGAGTCTGATGCTGAGACGATCTCGGCCGGGACACCGCCCAGGTTGACCGTGGTCAGCTCAGTACCATGCCCGAGCAAGCTGGATCCGCGAATGGTCACATAAGTGCCTGTGTGATCAAAGCAAGAAAAGGCGAGAGATGCAGGGCCGAGGGGTTGAATGTGTGAGCGTCATGGCGGATCGTGGACCGTTTGAGGACAAAGAGGTGAAACGGAATTGAGCGTACCATGTTGGCCTTGAGCAGGCTCGATTGTGTCAATGCTGCCTTCACGGCGGTAAGCAAACTGGTCAAGACCGACAGTACGTGCTCCGGTATTGGCTGTGAGAACGATCGCGCCTGTTCCGTCAAAACTTTCGTTGCGCAGAGCTTCAACAATGACCAATGTATCGTTGCCAAAGATGACGGAGGCTTCAACGCCACCAAGGGAGGCGTGGTCAATGGAAGTGCCTCCACCCAGAAACTTGTGGCCCTGTATCGTCACGCGGGTTCCTGCCTGGCCAAATGGCGGATTGACGGCCGTGATGTTACCATCGTCAAGCACCGTAAAGGCGTTTTCAAAGGTAAAAGTCGAGCCGGTATCGGAGACGACGCGAACGTCGACCAGGTCCGCGTGGGCGGTGGCACAGAGCAGTGTAACGAGTGCCACTACAGTGCGCCAGGCTGTGACAAGGAAAGCCATTGTCACAGGTCAGGAAGATAAGAAAGAGAGAAGAAGTTGAGAGGACAGAGAAGAAAGATGTGCCCGCCAAAGGGCAGCAGCAACCAGGGCTCAGAGAAAAGCGTGTGCTGGTGGTCAGAAGATTGGGGTCAAAAGAATGTCCAAAGAGATGGATGGTCAGAATACGCGTCGATACGCGTGTGCGTATGTACGCACACGCCAAACTATCTTACCCCCCGCCGCCAAGACCTGTGCGAGCGGGGGTCTGTGCAAGTGCTCGACGACGCTGAATGAATGTGGCAGCGCGCAGCAACCAGGACTCGATAAAGCCACGTTACCCAACCAGTCTCAATCAGCGACCACCAAAAAGCAAAACAAGTAGAAGGCCGGTCACTCTGGCCACACAATCGCGCAGGACCAATCCGGCCCACTCGACTCGTCAGAAGGGAAAATGCCCCCCCGTGTGAGGGTGCAAGGGTAGTTGCCTGTCTTGTTCCTTCTCTTCGTGCGCTGTCACTAGGTAGGTAGGTGTCTTTTTTTTGGGGTCTCTCTCTCTCTCTCTCTCTCTCTCTCTCTTTTCTTTGTTTTTGGCAGGGTTTTATTCTTTTCTTCTTCTTGTCACTGACTGAAGCATTGAGCAAAGTCCTTTGATCTACCAACGTACGGGAGGGTGCTGGTCGACGAGGAAGTGTGGCTGCCGTTTGGTTGTTACGACGAGTGTTCTCGAATTGTACTTCAGGTATCTACGCAAAGCTGGCCCAACGATCGACATGCAATCTCGTGATGCGCAAGTGAGCGGCCACCTGGCTAACACTAGGCCGTCGCGACCAGGCCGAGGCCATTGGGGACGTTGTTTGTCAAGCACGCCCAAGGACAGCGACGCTCTAGTGGTTTGTTCGTCGCGGTGGCTGATGGGGGTCAGAACATAGCCCTCTGAATTTGATATGACGCCCGTCAAGGCCATCTCGCACCCAACTTCGCATGCATGCACGCACTCTTCAAAGACCCAGCGGTGTTTTAGAGTAGAGGGTTATACTTTATTTTACGGAGAATCGACTCTTTCTCTAAATCTCTCTCTCTCTCTCTCTCTCTCTCTCTCTCTCTCTCTCTCTCTCTCTCTCTCTCTCTCTCTCTCTCTCTCTCTCTCTCTCTCTCTCTCTCTCTCTCTCTCTCTCTCTCTCGGCCGCTGGGTGATGGGAGATGGCTTCGCGCTTGGAAGAGGCGTTGGCCGCGGCTCGAGGGTTGTTGGATCCTTATGCGCGCCCAGTACACGTGTACCCGACCAGGACTGCCCCAAGGTACCAGGGGCAGCCTTCATGGCCTGATCATGCCACCGGAGCCTGGGCCTGGGCAGCGCTCGCACCCATGCCTGCCTCTGCAGCCACAGCCACAGGACTCCCCATCGACGCTCAGTCCCCCAGTCGGGAAGTTCGACGGCAACTGCGTCGTCGACGCCGCTGTCTGGTAGAACTCAAGCAAAACCAACTCCGCCTGAGGGTGAGCTGCCTGCTTTCTCTTTGTCTCGTGCTTTTGGGTGTCGGCCATGCTCCTAAGAACTCACACGTTTCCACGGCTCCCTTGACCCGACGTGTACCGATTTGCTTGCAGCTACTACGGCGTATCTTTGACGCTTGGAAACAAACGGCACTGCATTGCCACGATCGTGGTCAACTGTGCGTTCCGTCCTTTGACTTCCCCCCCCCTACCCCTTCCCCTCGTGCATTTGCTCATCACTGGCCTCCACCTGGCCTCCCGTAATGCACGTGTATGTGTGCTTGCTTCAATGCGCACGCCTGCTCAGGTTGGCTGCACGTTGTCAACGACGCCATCTTCGAACGTATTGGATCATCTGGCAAACTCGCCTTCGTCAGCGGTAGGATGACTCTTCTCACCCCTCCGATTCCTCCCCTCCGCCGCCTTCATCCCTCACCATCTGATTCTGGGCGCGCCGCTCTTTCAAGGCAAGGCCGTGCCCTCGAAGATGCCCGACAGCGGCGGGCAGCTCAAACCGAGCAGCGCCTCAAGGTATTAGTCTGGCATTTTCATGCTCGGCAAACCGTTGTCTTCTTACTCGCCAACCTCTATGGGTTCTTGCCTAATCTAGGTCAAGTGGACGATAGCATGCCAGTTTGATGCAACCCGCCGCTTGGCCCCGGTGTTTTTCGCCTGGAAGGTTGGTCTTCCTTGTACCTCCTAGACATTTGCGCCGCCTTGCATGAGGCACTCCTGGATGCCGCACACGCTCATGGATGGCTTCTGCTTTGCCGCAGCGCTGGGCTCAGCGAACACGACTCTTACAAGCCCAACACAAACTTCGTGAGGTCAGCGGTGGTGTGCCCATCTACTCCGCCGCCCTTTGCTTGGCCTCGCATCTGCACATCCAAAAATCACAAAACTCCAATCCTGCAACAAAGATCGTGCCTGCCTGATCCTTGGCCGCGCTCCACCGCTGGGCTATTGAATCGGTAGTCAAAAGCCCAGCACCTTCTCGCTCGACTGGCAGGACCGGAGCACCTCGCTCCCGCCGTAGATTCATCCCCACAAGCAAGCGTGCAGGCAGTAGGGGAGCCGCCTACAACACCCGCATCTTCCCCAGCGGCATTTTCAGAACCCCTGCGTGCCGTATCCCCGGTGAAGGCTGTGCCTGCGCCATCGCCCCCCGTGCCCCATTCTGTGGCGCACCCCGCCCATGCTCAAGACCCTAGGCCCAAAAAACCAACGTTACCTAACAACCCCAGCACTCCAGATAACCCCGAACCAAAGCCAGAGCCCTCGAATGTCCCAGCACAGACCTCGCCCGAACCAAAGCCAGAGCCCTCGGATGTCCCAGCACAGACCTCGCCCGACGCCCCGATAGCAACACAAGCCTCCAAGGCGCGGCCCAAAAACCCGCCCCCTTTGGTGCAGCGCATGATGGAGCGGGAAGCACATCGCCAGCTCGTGCGTCAGGAGCGTCTGCGTCGACAACAAGAGCAGCAACAAGCGGCAGCCGTACGATGATTCCGCCCCTTGCTGTCCCTTGCAGGCAATCTAGCCTTGGAAGCCGGCAGAGCGCACTGCTCTTCTCATGCAACACCGATGTACAGGCAGCCGAAGCAGCAGCTAAAAAAGCAGCAGCCGATGCCAAACTTCAGCAGGCTCGAGAAGCGCACCAGGAACGACAAGCCAAGAAGCTGGCCGAGCAGGTATGCATGTCTGCTATCGAAAAGTCCGGCCTCCCAAAAGCGGCTCTCTACATGTGCAAGCGCGAGCCACAACCTAGCTCGAGGCCTCTCTTTGCTCAATACCCCATGTTGTTGACTCAATCGTCAGGAACGCGCACGTATGCGCGAGCGTCAGGCTGCTCGCGAGGCCGTGGCCACAGGTGCGCGAGTACACTTGACCCAACACTATTGTCAATCTGTGTGACACTGATATGCGTGGCTCACACAGGCTTGGCTCGCTGCCACCGACGGCGGGTTATTTGTCGAAACATTTTGAGGGCTTGGCATGACCGAGTTCAGCAACGAGAGCTACGCTGCAACGAATATATCTGCGAGCGGGACCGACACTTTCTTCGCGCATGCTGGTTGCAGTGGCGACATGCACATGGTGAGCTCCTTCCTCTCTCTCTCTTTCTCTCTCTCTCTCTCTCTCTCTCTCTCTCTCTCTCTCTCTCTTTCCTCTTGTTCCCCGGTCTTTGAAGCAGCATTGTCGCTTGATCCCACTGCTCACCTGGTTAACCTGGCCTTGACTTCATCGTGACAAATGGGGGCAGAGCTACGTTTGCGCGAACGTCGCCGCCAAATGTTGCAGCATGCTGAGCAACACGCCGATCAGTGCTTACAGCGTGTCGCTTGGCACCACTGGCGCCGCATGTTGGCGGCCTGCCACGCCCAATGCCGGCTGGCGACTGTGCAAATCAACCGCACACGGATGCGACGTGCCTGGCGACATTGGTGGCAGCTGCAATGTAACTGGCGCATGCGAGACGCCGATTTGGCGGTGCATCTACGACAACGGCCATCACAGTATGTCTGGTTGTATTGCCCTTTGCTTACTGGCTGTTCCTCAACGTTGATGGTTTGAATCGTCTCACCTGCCACGTGAACTGGCATGGCCAGGGCTCTTCTGGCTGCTCTACGCTGCTGGCGTCGACAACTCGCTCTCAAACGCAAGGTGCATACATCTGCACATCCTTCCTGTTCTCTTCATTCGCCTTGCATGCGCCCTGTACTGACCTCCCTGTGGGTGTGTTGGCTCACTAGCATGAGGAGCGCCGAGCACTTGAGGCGCGTTTGTATGGCGTGGTCCGTGATCTTTTGCCCAATTTTACGCCGCGTGCTGAACGGTGCTCGCCGCCACCAAAGGCTTCTGGCTCGGGTTTTCCGATTTAACGTTTCAAAATGCGAGTTTAAGGGATCCTCACAGTTTTATTAGATGATAATATGTTACAACACCCGGCTGTAGTGCTAGCGCCGGATCCGTCCTCTATTTATCGTGGAGCCTGGCATGTCGTGTCATGGCAATTTTGGTTGATTCTCATCCGTTACTCATATTAATCTATTTATTCAGACGTTTTTATCTTCATGTCTGAGAGCCATCACAGCCCGCGTGCTTCAATTGTTGTCTGGCTGTTGAAACCTGGCAGGTCATACTGGCTTGCTCGGTTTTGAGCTGAATGGCCGACTCCCCATGAATGCTTTACGTCATGTAAAACCAAATTCAAAAAAATTCAAGGCAAATTCGTATCCGGCCATTGTTTTCATCCAGAAATGTGCATGGTATCATGTTTTGCGTGTGTGATGTACATACTCTTGACTTCGTGACTGACGAGATTTTACAAATAAACAGCAGATGGCTCGTCGTTGTCCCGTGGTCGGTACCGTGTTCCCCATGTGCCGACGACCACCAAATACGCACCAAATACGCTTTGGTAATGTAAATTTTCAAGCATGCTTTGGATCGTGGGTGATTGCATTTTCCCACAGCTTGGATACTGGAGAGTGCATCTAAATTGCACAGGTCGAGAACATACCGGAGGCCCACATACCGACCGTTTTTAGTACACACTTTTGCACCAGAAATCTGGGCAAATGATATCAGTTTTTGAGCAAGTTGACCGAGGGCATCAAAAAGTCAAAGATCACAATAACACCAAGGAAAAAAAAAAAAAGATTCATGCGTGTGGTGATTGTGCTGCACACAACCGCCCCCAAAACGTTCAGTTGATCCAATTCAAGTCAGTCTGGCGACAACTGAGCTGGCGAAGCGGGCGCCACACAGCTTATTCAGGGTTTTTGGCCAAAAATGCCAGCCACTGCAATAGAAAGCGCGACAGAGAAGCACCCGGTGAGCGCACATCTCCCACTGCTGCTGCTCGACAGCACAAAGTGCAAGCAGTCTGACCTTATCATGCAGCTTGGCCTGGTTGTTGTACGCCTTTTCCACGCGCTTTTTCGTCGACTTGGGCAGCTCATTGCCCTCTTTGGCACCCAACGATGCGGCAATTACGTCATCAGCACAGCTCAACATTCATCCAGACAGCTCATGCAAAGACAAACAAGCATCAAACAGGGCAAGCGTGTGGGAAAAGAAATCCAAGGTTACCCACCAGCATCACGCTCAGGTACACCGCGCTCGTCAAAGGTGCAGTCCTTGAACTCCGGATCGTCCTTAAACAAGTCTGCAGGCGCAAGCTTGCCCTTTTCGAGCTTTTTGCGTTCCGCAGCGGCCCGCTCAGCAGCCTTGCGTCGCTTCTCCTCTTCCTTGGCGGCCTTCAAGGCGGCTTCCTGCTCTTTCTCACGCATGAGCTCTTCCGCATCGACCAATTTGACAACGGCACCAGATTCCTTGTCCTCCAAGCGAACGCCCAATTTGGGCAGCGCCTCATCGCGCACTTTGTCACACAGCTCCAAAACATCCTTATCTGTTCAGAATGCAACAGTTTCCACGATGAATGGAAAAAGAGGAAAGGAACGCCTGCGAGAACAAGTCATCAAAAAAAAACAACAACAACAACAACAACAAAAAAAAAAAAAAAAAAAAAAAAAAAAAAAAAAAAAAAAAAATCCGCGAACCTTTGTTGGCGCGTGCGAGCTGGCGAATCTGATCACGCAGCTCGGCAAAGCGAAGAAGGGGCTCCATTAGCACTGCCTCCGCGCTGACGGTTCCGTCATCCCGGGGAAAACCAATCTCTTCCCCGGAAGGAATCAAACCAAAGCACACAAACAGGCGGGTCAAATATTCGGCCACAGCGCGCATGGCGTGGGTAAGGGCACTCATGCTCTGCAAGCGTGTGTTGCACTCGGACACGAGGTCACGGGCATGCTGCATAGCCGTAGCCTAAGGGAAAGCCACCGTTCAATGGAGAGGCGATGGTGGCTTAGCCTCGAAGACACCTAGAGGTTTATTGACACCATCAGGCCACATCAGCGCTGGCCGACGAACCGTGTCGATGTTGTCGCAGAGTGCAGTATGAATGGCCAGCTTCTTGGTCTCAAACACGGCCAACAGATCTTTTTCGCCGGCATCGCGGCCTTGTGCCTCGCGCGACAAAGCCTGCAGGTTGGCGATTCCCGAGCCCAAGTGGAAAAGGCATGAGTCAGCATCCCTTTTTTTCAAACTTCATATCGAAGGACTGCACCAGGCCCCCTCACACGAACAAACCTTGATGTTGAGAAAAAATTCCTTGAAGACTCGCTCGTAAACCTGAGCCTCTTCAAAAGCATCCGCACTGTATAGAACACGGGCAGAGGACGGCAAATGAAGCGACAAGAATGCACCAATGGTCACCATCGGAGGGCGGGGCGGGGTTGTGGCGGCCAGGGCGAATACCTGTAATTGAGAGTATCTGTCCACGAGTGAAGCAGAAACATGAAACGAATTTGGCGGGCCGTGTAGGTCTCGAGTGCTTGCTATTGAAAGTTACCCGTATGGACCCAGGAAAGGAAGAGATAGGAGAAATAGAGGCAAACATGTGAGGCAATGGTTGATTCCGTGCACCTGGGCCAAACCGACTAGGGCGCTATACGTACCTTGATGGTAATAAAGTTTTTGAGGCTCTTGGACATTTTCAGCCCTTCGATATGAAGGTGGCCCGAGTGAAGGAAATAGTTGACCCATTGGTCATTCTGGAAGTATGCCTGTTGTCAATGCACATGGGATGGCAAGAAGATGAGTCATCAAGATGTGGATGAAGCTTTGTTCAGGGCATGGGGTACCGTGCGGAGTTTGAAGACAACAGCAGTTGCAGTGACAAACCTCGCTCTGTGCCAACTCGTTGTCGTGATGGGGGAACTGCAGGTCAACACCCCCCGAGTGAATATCCATATTGTCGCCGAGAATATCGCTGGCCATGGCCGAGCATTCGATATGCCAGCCCGGACGACCCTGAAGCACCATACAGCCAGACCGTGGCACCAATTTATTCATCAGTTTGCAGGTCAGAGGGCGAGAGGAGGCAGTCTTTAGTGAGACAACAAGGTCACGTGGAGCATGGGAGGCGTACCTGTCCCCAGGGCGATGTCCATGAGGGTTCGCCGGGCTTGCTGGCCTTCCAAAGAGCAAAGTCAGACTGGTTGCGCTTTTCAGAGCCAGCGCCGCTGAGGGCGCCCTCGCCATCACTCAAGAGCTTGTCGTTGCCCACTGCCTCGGGCTTCAGCTTGGCGTAGGTGTGGTCTTTGTCGGTGCGGAACTTGGTCACATCAAAGTAAACTGATCCATTCGACTCATAGCTAAGTGTCCCAGCGGTGGTGGTGGTGGTGGGGTGAGTTTCATACGCAGGGCCTACTTTGGGGATGAGGCTAGCTCGGGTTGACGTACGCAAAGCCATTGTCGATGATGCGTTGAATGTAGGCCACAATTTGCGGCACGTAGCCCGTCACGCGAGTAATAACATCGGCTGGCTCAACCTAGCGTCGTTGCAGGTAACGACGTCAAAAGGCGAGAGGCGAGGGGCGAGGCGCTGGAGGACGCAAAAGCCACGCTGTGCAGGCCACTAACGTTGAGCGCACTCATGTCCTGGAAGAACTCGGCTTCCCAGTGCTGGCTGAGCTTGAGAAAAATGTCCTTGTCAAACTCATCTAAGCGCAGATGAGATTGAGACGAGGGGGTTTCATTCAAACATCACACCTACGAGTTGAAATAGGAGCGGTCAGGATGGAACATGGGCAAACGAACCGGTGGTGCGATTGGCATCAAGGTAGCGAGCGAGGGCAAAGTCGGCAGCATCAATAAGGGGCAAAAGGCCTTCAGTGGGGTTGGCTTGGGTTTGATGCAAGCGTTCGGCAGCGTTGATATCCGCCTGAAGACCATCGAGAAGGGCATAAAAAAAAGGAGCATGTTAGATTCTTTTTGCGGATCGAGCTGGGGTGGGACCAATAAGCCAGCGAGCGCAGCACTGCCAGACCAGGGCTTTTTCGAGCATGCCGCGTTTATCGGGATCCTCTTCCCGACCAGCATCCTCTGCAAGACAAGCTGGGCCAAGGTTTGGGCGTGTGGGGTGGACGAATGCAAGAGGCGTGCCATATTAGCGGCTTCATATGACTGTTGAGCTGCATGTCGGTACAAGCAAGCGCATGGCTTGGCCTTACCAATGGCGTGGGTGATGGTGGACAGGGAGCTGGCTGGATCCTCAAGAGCCTGCGCACGAAATTGGGCCACGAGGTGCTGCTGGCGAGCGCGAATGATAATCTACGGGATCATGATGGAGGCGGGCGCAACATGGTCAGGGTCGAGCAGCTGTTGTCGGGGGCACGGATACCCCAGCTTGGCAGACTCCGCGCCGTGCTGCTGCTAGACCTTGTCATCGATGTCCGTGATGTTCATGACAAACTGAACGTCGTAACCAAAATATTCACGCAGAATACGGCGAAGGATATCAAAGCTGACATATGATCTGTGAGGCCCCGACATGCAAGGCGGTGAAGGGCTGTGGCAAGCGCCACCGTGGACCCAAAAACGTGTGGACCAGGCAAAGGGAGGGAAAAGAAAGCATACCGAGCATGGCCGAGGTGGGCTGCATCATAAACCGTCGGACCGCAGGCGTACCAAGTCACACGGGGACCCTGCTGGGGAACGAATTCGCGCTGCACGAGACATTGGCACACCGTCAAAATCGGTCTCTGGTATCGAGACGCGGAAGGAAAAAGGGCTGCCCGAATGAGCGATTAACAAGCCCGAGTGGGCCAGATAGCTACCTTGGTGCGGCTTTGGCTATCAAGAAGGTGGAGGCGATGTTGCTGCGCGGCCGCAGGGAGCTGCCACAGATCGGCAGGCTTGGGACCACTCGACACTGCCGGCGAGGCCGGAGCAGCCTCGACCGTGCTTGTAGCAGCAGCCATCGTAACGCACAAAACACACTGAGAGCAACACACACGATAGCTCTGTCTCCACCGATGATCTATGGCATGCGCACACCACAATCAAGCCGGCATTCAGCATTCAAGCTCCATCAAGGCCCAGCGCGGGCGGCGGTGGAGCAGACAGGAAGGCGTCGGACAGGGGCGGCTCACTCCCTCACCAGCTCCACTTGCTCGTCACACGATGCTGAATGTGTGTGTGTGTGTGTGTGTGTGTGTGTGTGTGTGTGTGTGTGTGTGTGTGTGTGACACGTTGCGTTGCAGTTCTAGTTATGCGACCACTTTTTCAGGGTTGAGGTTTGCATATCGTCACTGAGTTCGTGTCTATAATATTACCAAGTGTTCTTCCTTTTTGTTTTCCTCTCTCAGTCTCTCAGTCTCTCAGTCTCAATCCCAGTCCCTCTCTGTGGCCATTTCTCACACTGATCGACACTGATACAAGATGGTGAGTCAAATGGCAGCGCCGGGCGTCGTTGGGGTGGAGGGAGGAGGCTTTCTGGGACTGCAGTGGGGTGTACCAGAGTCCGAATGGGCTTTTGGGGGCCAATTGTCAAGAGTGTCTTCCCAGATGTGTCTGGGATGAGAGTGAGGCGGAGGAAGCACAAAGCTCTGGCTGGCCACGTCAGACGAGCTCCAAGGACCTGGAACCGCCGGGCTGGTCTTAGGTCTCGCGTGCCTTGCATGGGCCTTGTCCTGGTTCTTGTTGGATGAACCGCGCCTCTACTAGCTCTTATTGCTCGTGTGTGGACTGTGCGAGATTTGTCCAAAAGCTGCACGCGTCACCTGTCGTAGCCGCTCACCATCACTACGTTGTCTCTAGGCGCACAACTTTCCTCCTCTGCGGCCGACGGCAAGCGCCGTGACCGCCACGCAGCTTCCCGTGCACAACATGGGTGTTCATGATACCTTGCGCTTCGGGTAAGGAACATGCTCGTCTTTCTCCGAAACTTCTCTTTTTTTTTTTTTTTTTTTTTTTTCGTTTTTCCTCGTCCATTCTTCCCTTTCATGTTGCTCTGGTGCCTGAAAACGCACACGGTCAAGGTGTATCTCATCTCACCATGTTTGGCCTTTAGTCCCGCTGCTGCAGGCGAGGTGCTTAGTGCCAAGCATCCTGTAGAAGTGGCGCAGAACAAGGTTTGGATACGATGCAACGTGACGCGATGCGATATGACGAGATTGACTTGGTACCTTGAGGCTGAGGTTCACCAGTGTTGTTGCTTGGGGCACCTTCTTTTTCTCAGCGCGCGGAGCACGAGCAAGATCTCAAGCTGTCCCTGGTGGCTGCCAGTCAGGTGAGGGCCTGCGCCGTGACAAGGGCCATTTCCAAGTGCAGGCGGTGTTTTCATCTCATCCTTTTCTCGTTTTGGATGGGTTTGCAACACTCGGACAGGGTGATTACATGCGTCAGGTGATGCTGCAAGAGCGTCGTTCATTGGCTCAGGTTGGTTCACGTTTGACTCTTTTCAAGCGATCATGTGCTGAGCCACCGTGGCTGGCCTTGATCCACACCCCGGAGCGGCGGGCTTCTGCATTGAATTGACTTTGGTTGCGGCTGCATCGTGTGATCTAGCGCAAGCGTCTGCCTACCCTACCCAACACCATGCTTGGTCTGGAAGTGGCCATGGGTTATGACCAGCTCATTGGTTTTGAAGATTACTTGAACAGTACGTGGTTGGGCTCTGCTCTCCGCTCTTGTCTCTCAACGCGGGTGCAGATGCTCTGTCAACTCATGCGCATGGATGTCCCGCGTTCCACTCTAGCCGGCGAGGATCCCGAGGCGATCAGCAACGTGCACGCAGCAGCCGAGGCTATGCGGTGGTAAATGGGCCGAGCCAACAAGAGCCCATTCAAACTCAAACAAGGCCGCTCATGTGCTGCCTTGTCGTGTGCTGCCTTGTCGTGTGGTGACCTTATTGTTTCTTTGTGCTTGCTTGTTTGTTTGTGGTGCGGATCCACATTCCAAACACTGATTGTTTCATCATGCCTTGTTCTGTTCATGCTTTCTCTCATGTTTCCGCGCGTTCCGCTCGGCGCCTCAGCGGCGTTGCCGTCGAGGCGACGCATCTATGATGCACGGCGTTCGGTCTGAATCCCCCAAAATTCATTCAGTGCATTCGTTGGTGTCACGACCATTTTTATCAGCACCGCACATCGAGACCTCCTGGCCACCGAGTCCACAGCCGCATGACCCAGAATCATTGTCCTTGGACCTGTTCACCATCGCGTGTGCAACCCTCATAAACTTGAGTCTTAAAAATAAAAAATCTCTCCTCTACACACACACACACACACACACACACGAGTTGTTGGCAAACTCGAAACTTCTTTTGCTGACGTGGAATGATGACAATGTCGAACTTGCACCTCCGATGCTTTTCATCTCTGTTCTTGAGCGACACCTGGTTCGTACCTCTGACCGCTGCTGTATTCTCTTATGCACACTGCTCTTGATCACCTCTGATAGCGGCATCTGTCTCTGGCGTTGACTCCCTACCTCTTTCTCTCTCTGACTCAAAAAAAAAAGAAAAAAAAGAAAAACTCATCAGTTTGACAGAGAGAAGCTAGGTGAGGTGGTCATGTGTGCTGCGTGCGCCAGAGATGCGAGTGTCTGCGGATGGACTGGTTGGCTCGCCATGAGCGCATGATCTCGGTGCTTTGCGGCACTCTGATCAGCGGGCTTTGGGGATTGATGTTGGGAACGGGGCGCTGATCTTTTGCTCGATGCTTTTTGCGGTTTCGCGATAGAGGTACTGGACTTCATTAACAACGACGATGCTGGTCCACCTGAGGGCCAGGACGGGCGGGCTGCTTCTGGTGCTGGCGTTGGTGCTGGCTTTGTGCGTGCCCGGTGCATCTTGTGCCGATGAGGAGCAGTGCTTTTGCCAACTCTCTGGGGTGATTGATGATTGCTGCTGCTCCATTGAGGATGTGAACCGTCTGAATGAGCACGTGGCTCCGTTGGTCACCCGGCTCGCGGAAAGTGACTTTTTCAAGTATTATCGTGTCAACATGGATCGCCCCTGCAAGTTTTGGCGCCAGGAGCTTGCTGAATGTGGCTCCAATCGCTGCTCTGTTGAGCCGTGCGATGAGGTGGGGTTGGATTCGAGGGACACGTCCCCATCTCTGTGGGCAGATGAAGTCATCCCCAGCCGCGGAAAGCCACTGCACAACCATCGCCTTGTGTTCAATGCTGAGCCCCCTTTTCTGCTTGCTCTGTTTGTTTCATCGCCTAGAATGAAGTACCGGAGCGCTTGCGGGCTTTGGATCAGGACCCATCTGCCTTTGAGTGTGTTATGGGCGACATGACCGAGCTGGGCCAACTTCGTGACACTGTCAGGTTTGTGCTCATCTAATCCTCCGCCTCTACCCTACCCGGTGCCCGAGTGTACCATCGTTTGCTGGGGTGTACGCGGTGTGCGTACACGCATGACTTTGGCCTGCACTGACCGCTGCCTTGTTGGCCCCTTCTTACCCCTCACCTTCTGGCTTTAATCACATGCTTAGTGCGGACCAGGCAGAGCAAGTTGCGGGTTGGCATGTGCACACGGATAGCTATTGCTTCCAAGACGGTCTGTGCAAACGAGTGCCCTACTTCAGCAAAAGCCTCGTGCCTCGAGCCAAATCGTGCCCCCTGCTCTCTGATGGGATGTCATGTTGCTCTGTTATAGATGAAAACAGCGCCACCCTACACTACGTCAATTTGGTGGATAATCCCGAGCGTTTCACTGGCTATTCGGGCCGATCCCCGGCCCAGATTTGGAAGGCCATCTACGGTGAAAATTGCTTTCAGTGCGTGCTGTTGCCAATGCTGGTTACTTGAGTGTCGTGTCTCCTCCAAGCATCCACTCACAGCTTGTATTCGCATTTGGACAATCCCCATCTCTTCGACAGACCCGACGATGCCTCGGCCAAATTTTTGACTTCCAAGGTGGTAGCAGGGATGTGCATGGAAAAACGGGTCTTCTACCGCATCGTTTCTGGGCTGCATGCTGCTATCAACATGCATGTTGCTGCACACTATCCACGCGAGTCTATTTTGGGCCAAGAGTCTTGGGGGCCAAATGTGACGCTCTTTGAGCGCTTTTTTCATCCCGCGAAGACATGGGGTGAAGGTGCGCGTGTCGGCGATCGATGGTACCTTGCAACAATGATGTCGTCCGAGTCTGGATGTGGGATATTGAGTTGTGCAGTGTGACGCTCAATGCTTTGATCATCCCTTGTCCAAACGCCCCAGGTCCCAACTGGTTGAAGAACATTTATTTCAATTACCTGCTGGTGGTGCGCGCCATCACCAAGGCGTCCTCCCTCTGGGAAGCTGAGCGCTTTTATACCCACAACAGCGAGCAAGACGAGGAGGTGGCGGCCATTGTGAAAGAGCTCATTGACTCGGCCCCGCGGTACATGTTGCACACTGCTGTTCTCGCCTCCAGCACTTCTGATGCTTGGTGTAACAGCTACGCCCAAGTTCTTATTCGCTATTTCTCGCGGCCTTTGACCAATCACAGGACGTGTCCCAGTACATTCGACGAATCCCTTATGTTCAATGGCCCAGAATCTCTAGAATTGAAGGTGCGCCATCGCCATTTTGGCACCAGACAACCGTCTGCGATAAAGTGTGCTCGCTGACAAAAGTGTTGCCCTGTTTTTAGCAAGAGTTCCAAACCAAGTTTCAGAACATCTCACTGATCATGGATTGTGTCGAGTGCTCAACCTGCCGCTTGTGGGGCAAATTGAAAGTGCACGGGTTGGCTGCTGCCATGCGAATTCTCTTCGCGGACGATTCGGCAACCCTTGTCCTGTCCCGCAACGAGGTCGTGGCTCTCTTCAACACTCTGGCCCAGTACGTTGCAATATTCAAAGCCATAGTTCCAGGCTTTATGCCCGGCCATGCGTCCACTTTCTTGATATTGAATTGCGTTCTGATTTTATTTTGTTTTTGCTGTGCCTAGGTTCAGTCAAGCCATCGAAGAGATCAATACATTTCGCCAACTCAGTGTGAGTGTCTTGGCCCTGGGTGTCCCTTATTGAACGAGTTTTCACCCGGACTCGTTCTGACGCAATTTGCCTTTACCATGCTTGCCTCTCAATGCGTCGACTCAGGATTCTAATATCATGGACTCGGAGCCCACTCTGCCATTTGCGTAGCAAATGCTGCCACCATAGTTGAAAACAAAACAAAACAAACCAAAAAAAAATCAAACAAACGCAAAAAATATAGAGGCAATCAAAAGGTTGTACGTGTTGTCTTTGACAAGGCAAAAAGATCGGAATGAATTGAACATGGTTTCAGAAATCGACGGCTCAGCCGTGGCGCTCGGGGCAAGAAACTTTCGCCGGCAACATAATATCCATACGAAGCAGACGACTCGCTTGCCGACGTGAATCATGCATCTCTACGGATGCTGCGGATGAAATTGGGATGATGGGTGATCGTTGTGCATCTCTGGTTGATATGTCAGGAGGACAATCATGACCCAAAGATGCAGTAAAATCTGCAAAAGGGCAGCCAGGTCGTCGTAAATGAAACACGAGAACGCGCAAGCGCAAGAAGACCAATTAGTTGGCACGACTCACCATATAGACCATAACAAGGAGGCGGGCAATGGGATAGCGCCGCAAGAACAAGCCGATTCGGATGCTTAAAAAATCAAGCCATACATGCAAATGTAGCCAAGTTAGACAGGGAAGGGAGGTGGCAGCGCGTTTCTCATTCATGGAGGTTTCCAAAGGTGTGTTTATCGCGCAGATGCAAGTCCAAAAAGAGAGAGAGAGAGAGAGCGCGCGCGCACACACACACACACACACACCTCATGGCATCCAGGTGCGACACGGCCGACTGCAAGCGTCGCTCCATCTCGCTGACGTGCGCGTTGCGCAGCATATCCCGTTGCATGAGCGGCTCCATCTGCATTGCTGCATCGAGCGAGCCGTGCCAAGAAGGCGCAATTGCATGTCAGTGGACAGGAATCCCAGCAAGGTGACGGGGCCAAATTCAAACCTACTCTCTTCCCATTGGGCCATGTTGGCTGCTCGATCCTGCGCCAGCTTGGTAGCCATCTGAGCTTTGCGCCGCTCCTCGTCCACTTCAAGGCGGGCCATGCTCAGGTCCTTGCGCAGTTCCTCCAGTTGTCCTTGCTTAGCAACAAGTTGCCGCGTTAGCTCAGCAACGTGGCTGCCCGCTTCTGAAGCCATCGTGGCTTGATGCTCAGTGGCTGCGGCTTCACGAAGGCGCGTCCGGTGTTGATCGAGAGCTCCCTCAAGCTCTTGAACCTGGCTTTGGTGCTGTTGCTTCTCTCGGATGAGAGTGTCCCGCTCCTGCTCCAAGGCACGAACTCGTCGCTCGAATTGTTCGGTGGCTGCACCTAGTTCGAGTCGGCTGGTAGCGAGGGCCGCTTCAAGGTCTTGAAAATGCTGGCTGGCCATGTCTGCGTCCGTCTCCTGCTGTTGTTGCAGCTCCTACCACGATAGAAAAGAAGGCACGGTCACATGGCGGCCTTGCCGAGCCAATACCGGGTGCTTTGGCGACATTGGAGCGGGATGGGCTCACCTCAATGGTTCGTTCATACTCGAGACGCATGGCTTCTGCCTCATGAAGCTCGTCGCGAAGACGGCGCAACTCTTCCTCTCGGTTGAGACTTGATTGTGTGAGGGCCGAGGACATGTCCAGCATGCTGTTATCTGCGGTACGCTCCTGCAACTGTTTCTCTTTCGCCTAAGGAAGCAACGTGTGCCCAGCCGTGTTGAGATTCACGCCTTGCCTGCAGCTACGCAAACGCCTACATACCTGGAGAATGCGTTGGGCCTTGGTTTTGTAGTCATCAAACTCACGCTGGGCTTCAGCCAGCTCGGCTTGAGAGGCTTGTTGTTGCCGTTGAGCTGCCACGAGTTGGCCTGGGAAAACGGAAGACCGAGGGAAAGAACAGGCAGCCAACCACTATTCAGAGGCGAAATGAATGTGCCCCAAGGCAAGGGCTCTGGCTGTGAGGATACTTTACCTCGTGTTTGCTGCAATTCCTGCTCAAGTTCTTGCACGCGCGCTTCTAGCTCTTGCTGAGCTTGCTGAAGCAAGGATGAAGCCGCGGGCGCATCTGTGGACGCTTCAGAGTTGAGGTCGGTTTGATTCGCTGGAGCCTGGGATTGCTCCAACTTGTGTTGCAAGTGAGCAATTTCACTGTTAAATGAGTCGACGGCTACGCGATGCGCGTCCTCTTGCGAGCGCATGCTGCGGCGCAGATGCTCGTAAGATCGTTCAGCCGTCTGCAGCTGATTGCGCATCTGCTCAATCTCATCCTGTGCGTGGCGCAGGTCAGCTCGCAGCTGCTCAGTCGATTGATCGCCGTCATGCCGCTGGCGCCGTAGATCCTTCATGCGTTGTTCCGTTTGCTCGAGCTGCCGGCGCAAATCACCGATGGTGTTTTGAGAAGCTGCATGTCGCGATTCACTCGTGGCAATTTCGGCCTCCAACGCCCGCAGTTCGCGCTGCAGCATTTCATTTTCAGCCCGAAGCCCTGCCAGCTCTCTGCTATCATCCGCAGTGACCGACTTTGATCGAGCTGGGGACTCTGGTGAATCCAGGTTCAAGGTTGGTGCTGTGGTTGACGGTGTCCGTTGAGCCTCACCCTGTGCGGTCGAGCCATGTGTCGGTTCAGCTGCGCTGGCATCGGGCTCTTCGTGGGGTTGCTGACTCTCCTCATCGTCGCCCGACTCGCCCGATGAGAGTGGATTTCCAGCGAGTGCACGGTCCTTGATCTTGCGACGCCGAGCTTGTCGCTCGGCCTCTTCCATCGCATGCGCAGCTCGTCGATCCGCATCCTCCAACATCATGGTCAACGAGGTAAAGAGCGAGGCCATGTCACTGGTGTGGCATCAGTGGCGACACCCTTCGAGACGTCCGCTGCTCCTTGCCAGCATAAGCTTCACCCCACAATCCAAAGACAAGACCCGTGGGCCTTTGCTGCATTAACAGCCGGACGACACAGCCAGCCCACCGCCTCGCCCGCCCCTCCCTCTTTGCCTCAAAAGATCAGATCAGAGAGCAAGCAGAAAAAAAAAAAGAGAGAGAGAGAGAGAAAGAGAGAAGAGAGAAAGAGAAGAAGGGATAGATAAAGAGAAGAAGAGAGAAGAGGGCGGAAAGAACTACCACACGTAGCAGAAAAAGACAGACAACTTTCATTTGAAACGAAGGAACCTGCATCGAATTTTTCTGTTTGTTTTGCTGTGTCGACACAAAGAAAATGATGACAAACACTTCCAAGGAGTAGATTCAAAATTAGCACTACTGACCGTTACAAAGCATCAGCTGGTGGTGGCGGTGGCGGTGGTGGCGTTTGCACAGTTTTATGCGCCGCCTTGGACAGTGAAGCGGAGGGATACGATCCGTTGGGTTGTTTGATGGGATTCAGGGGTGTTTGGCTGTAGGTGTTGCTGGGGTTGCGAAAGAGGATGTCGACCAAGCGCAAATCGGCTGCCAAAGCGGCTGCCAGCGCGCCGACCCTTCAGTCCCGCTCACCCGCCGAGTTCTTTGCCGAGAACAAGAGCATTGCTGGATTTGACAACGTGAGTGGCGCTTGCTGGCCAAAAGCCAGAAAGAGCTGAAAGCTTTAGCACTCAATATCGCCATCGCTGGTGAGTCTGGATTCGATGTTGTTGTTTTCGAGCACTCAACGGCTGTGGAACCGCATCTGATAGCCAGGCAAAAGCTTGTATACCACGATTCGTGAATTTGTGGAGAACGGCCTGGATGCTGCTGAGGAGATTCGCCTTTTGCCGTCAATTGCCGTGACAGTGACTCGCGTGCCCAATCACGCCATTAGCGATCTGTACGTTCCTTCAGTCTTGCAACGTCGTAGGAGCTTTGATCGCATCGGCGGCGAACCCTCGCTGATCCTCCTCCTTGCCTCCTAGCTATGGACACAAAAGGCGCAAAGCTGAGGAGGAGGCTTTGTTGGCGTCCCAAGCAAGCACGGTACCATCACCCGCACAGAACACTGGCGATGATGGCCAACCCAAGGAGAAAAAGGCCAAGGCCAAGGGAGCCAAAAGCGAAGAACGTGCCTACTACCAAGTCATGGTGCAGGTGAGCCGTGTCGAGACCTTTGCTCAAGTCAATGACGCTGCTTCCTGCCAGTCCTTGATTGTCATGTGATGTGGTGGTCTTTCCTTTAATGTATGAACCTGACAATGGCAACTGCTGTGATACTGACGGCAATGGGGAAATGTTCAGGACAACGGCATGGGAATGCCCCACAAAGACATTCCTGGCATGCTGGCCAAAGGTAGGTGACCTGCTTGATGCTGCTGCTGCTGATGAGCTGCACTCGTCATCTTTTATGGCTGACACCGCCCCACTTTCCTCCACACTGATCTTTAGTGCTATCGGGTACCAAGTATACTCTCAAGCAAGCTCGTGGCCGCTTTGGTCTTGGAGCAAAGATGGTGCGCTGGTGCATTCCTCACCGTCGAGCTTACGCCACGGTCCAACTTAAGTCTGGACGTTCTGCTTTTTGATTCCACTCGATTCGTATGGCGGCAGGCTTTGATCTGGGCCAAAATGACGTCTGGAATTGCCCTTGAGGTCTACTCGGCGCGCCCTGATTCCCAGAGCATATCTCACTGCGTTCTGGACATCGATTTGCATCTCAACGAGCCCAAGGTTTGTTGCGGTGCGCCCATGCGCGCGCGTGTGTATGCGTCTATTGCAACCCCTCAACGGACACGAGTGCATAGATTCAAGTTCACGAACGGATTCCAAATGATGGCACTTGCGACGTGGCGCAATCATCCATCAACACGCGCATCATGGCGGGCTGTGAGGGCGTGGAGCCACATGTCTTGCCAGCTGGGTGGCATGGTACCTGCATCGCCGTTGTCATCCAAGGCAATTGGTCCGATGGTACGGCCGCTCATCAAACACTGTCAGCTCGATAAAGTCACCGGCACACATTCACACCGCCTTGCCTTGACTGGTGGGACCATGAAGGACACGGCGCGTATCGTTGGAACATCATCAAGTACATGCGTCGGCTTGCTGTTATTACGCCGTACGCCGAGTTTTTGCTGCAGTACACCGACACGGACCCTGTTCGCGCCAAGCAGTTGAACATGAAAGTTCTTTACCCTCGACGATCTCAAGTCACGCCCGGTAAGTTTCTTTGTGTGTGTGTGTGTGTGTGTGTGTGTGTGTGTGTGTGTGTGTGTGTGTGTGTGTGTGTGTGTGTGTGTGTGTGTGTGTGTGTGTGTGTGTGTGTGTGTGTGTGTGTGTGTGTGTGTGTGTGTGTGTGTGTGTGTGTGTGTGTGTGTTTGTGTGTGTGCCGATGCTCTCACAAACCCACCACATTATCGTAGAGCTGCCTCGGGCCATTCAGCCCCACCCCTCCAGCGTTGATCTCGTCGGTGTGGAAAACCTGATACGCCACTTTGGGCACAAACCTTTGCTCAAATTTCTCAAGGTTCGCTTCGCGCCAGGATCCTCACGTTTCCAGAACCCACCACGTTCAGCCCTTCTAACGGCATTGATGTTAATAGACGGCGTTTGCCCAAATCAATGACAAGGAAGCGCGTGCGACCATCGCTGGTCTGGGTCCTCAATTTGATGAAGACATGCTGGCTGGAAGCCTGGTTGGTGCTTTTGAGGAGAAAATCATCCCTCGGTCGCCCAAGCTCGTGACCCATGCATGTCGGGCTTTTTGCTCATGAGGTGATTGATAACTGTGGTATTGCCCCGTGTACCCAGAACAAGCACCAGGTCCAGCATCTTGTCAGCTATTTGACGGCCAAGCAGCGCAGTATGTTCAGCAAGAATCTCGCCGTGCCAAATCATGATGGGAGATCTGCTTGTGCCTGTCCTCGCGGCTAATATCTGGCACTCGGGCCTGCTTGTAGGCTGGCGATCACCGTCCAAGGATGCCCTTTCGCCTGCAGGAACGTACAACATGTATCTTGGCATCATGAAGGTATGAATGCATCAGCCCTTCTGCTCGCATCGGGCCACCCTCCTTCAAACAACCATGGATTCAAGCCTAACAACTTGCTTTCTCGTTTGGGTGCTTGTTCCGATTGTGGGCAGGAGCTCAAACCGGATCTGATTGCCACTTACGTTCAGCCTGCATCCGTGTACCAAGGCCACCCCTTTGTGGTGGAAGCGGCGGTCAGCCTAGGCGGCCGCACTGTGACGCCCGGCATTAACGTTTTTCGGTATGCCTTGCCCACAATACCCCCACATGTACCTCGCCGCTCCAAAAAGCGAGCTTCTCACGAACTCGAATCTGCCTGTTGGCGGCTGGGACAAATTTCTTTGTTGCGTGCAAGGTTTGCCAACCGCATTCCTCTAATTTTTGAGGAGCGATCCGATGTCATTACCAAGTCTGCCCACGAACTCAAGTCAGTTTCGTGCGATATCAACTTTACTCTGATTGTGTGTCTTTGCTTTTTTGACCCACGCGATACGCGTGTCGCACTATGCCCGTGCACACGGATGCCGGCCATCTCACGCAGCTGGGGATACTACAAACTGAACAAATCGACTGACAAGATCGGCGTCTTTGTCAGCATTGTCAGCACCAAGATTCCGTTCAAAGTGCGTCAACTTCCAGAGTGCGGTGCCGTCATCATGTCGTCTCCAGCAAGGCCTCATCCCTTGGGTGTCTTGACGTAGGGCACGGGCAAGGAATTCATCACGGATGATATTCCAGCCATCAAGAAGGACGTCAAAGTGAGTGCGCGGCTTTTTTTTTTTTTTTTTCGTGTAGTAGGCCCAGTCAGCTGACCACACGCTTCTGTACAATGCATTTGGTTGGTTACCGTCCGAAGAATGCTCTTCAGCAGTGTTGCAGCCAACTCAAGACAAAAATTGCCAAGCAGCGCGACGACAAGGTTTTGGATCGACTTCCGTTGCCTCGATACCTGGCTTCTCAAACACGCCTGCGCGCGTGCACACACACACACACACACACACACACACACACACACACACACACACACACACACACACACACACACACACACTCACTCACTCACGACTTTTCCTCCCCAATTGGTGCGAACATAGGCGCTGGCAGAGCGACGAGCAAACTTGCTCAAGTATGCACCAGCAGTGTGCACATCTTTAGTCTCGATTCTGCAAGAGCGGTACGTTCTGGGACAGGCAATGCGAGGCGTGTGTGTGTGCCAACATCCGAACAATGCAAGACATTACAGATGTGCTAGAACTGCCGCAGAACAGACAGCCAACTCATTCTCCCCCAAACAAGTAGCCCCAATGTCGAGCCCTTTCTAGATCCCGAGGGTGTCCCTCGCGTGAATGTTGCCCCTGACAAGGCACCGACGCGCCTGGATGTGATAAGCCGCATTCGAACTGGCTCTTTGGACGCGTCAGAAGTTCGACGTCAGCTCCAATCCTACGTGGAAAACCACCACGAGCAGATTGCGCTGGCCTCAATCGCCAAGCTTGGTCGTGGCAGCACCGATCTTCAAGGTATAATAAATGTGTTGCTTGCGCCGTGCCAAACTACATCACCTTGCCCATGTCTGACATGATTGCCCATTCGCAACCGCTGGGTCAGATGTGGCACTTGTGCCCTTGGACACGAGTGCGCCCTTTCGACGCCTCGCTCTGCCCGGCGGTACCCTCTTCCTGGCATCGGACGCTGTTGCATCCTCCTAGAACCAATCGTATGAACTTAGAGAGGGTATTGCAGAATAATATGGACAACCTCACTGCTTTCGTCAATTTACTCAAGTGTGTCAAAGTGTAATTCAAGTGAAGGAAAAGTCACTGAACACACACACACACACACACACACATTTTTCGAGCTCTTTGTTTGCAAGTGACGTGGTGAGAGACCAGAAACGGCAGTCGCGTCGCTCCTTGCTGGGCATGAGGCAGGAAGAGAAGGCGGGGCTTGCTTGGACAGCCTGTTTTGACGGTTCATATCTCATCTCTTTCCCCGTTTGATGCGCGCGGTTGTGGATGCCACTGGGTTGGCTTCGCGTAGTCAAGCCACTCGCTCTCAGTGAATCTTCAACATGTCCCAACCGCCGTCGGTTCGTGAAAGGGCGCCGCACGCCATGCAGTGGGCACTACGTTTTGTTTGTCGTGTTTTCTCACCGCGGTGCACCCCTCATGATTTATTCCATGTCAGGGCAACAACGGCAACGGCAATGGCGCCGACAAAGATGTAAGTGTTTTGTGCGCTGTTGTTGGGCTGGCGATGAAGAGCTGGGCTCCAATATTTTCACTTTGCAGAACGGTGGAGGCACTTCCGGTCAACAGGCGTCGCTGTTCTGCCTGATGCTCATGCAATCTTTCGTGGGGTTTCGCTGACGTAAAACATCGTTGGGGAGCATAGAAAAAGCCTGACCACGCCGTCACCACTCGCACGGGTCGTCGTCGTCAGGTCAGAGGCTACGCCGCTCGCATCAGATATCTTTCCATTTGGGCCGTGAAGTTCACGCCAACAAACTTGCGGCTTATTTGCCTCGTTTGAATCCGACAGCGCCGAGGGCCAGATGTAGCAAGCAAGCTCCCAAAAGTCACGCCCCATGCGCGTTGTCGTCTGCGTCTGCTAAAGCAAGAGCGCATTCGCGACTTTCTCATCCTTGAGGAAGAGTTCATCCAGAACCAGGAGCGTCTCAAACCCCGTGAGGAGCAGGCCGAGCAGGAGCGTACCAAGCTTGAAGAGCTGCGCGGCACCCCTCTTCAAGTGGGCAATCTCGAAGAGATTATTGACGAGCACCATGCGATCGTTTCCACCCCTCATGGTCCCGAGCACTACGCCCTGATTGCATCATTTGTTGACAAGGATGAGCTTGAGCCCGGTTCCACTGTGCTCTTGCATAACAAGGTATGGCACTCTGACGTATTTGGGATCTGAGCAGACTAAGGGGAAAAAAAGGTGGGGGTGGCTGTGCTTGGCAGTCAACGCAAGCATTCATGTGTGCCCCGCTTTTGAACTGTAGAACCATGCCGTTGTGGGAATCTTGGATGATGATGCTGACCCCATGGTCAACGTCATGAAGCTGGACAAGGCTCCAACTGAGTCATATGCAGATATCGGAGGCCTTGAGGATCAAATTCAAGAGATCAAGGTTCTGCACCGGCCTCCTCGCATGTTCCTGGCACCTTCGCACTTTCTACCCAGATTGAACGGTTGTTAGGCCCATCACTTATGCTTTATGAATACCACAAATGTTGCCATTGTGAACGTTATAGGAATCAGTTGAGCTGCCGTTGACACATCCTGAGTATTACGAGGAAATGGGCATCAAACCTCCAAAAGGTGTCATTTTGTACGGGCCCCCAGGCACAGGCAAAACCCTTTTGGCCAAAGCCGTTGCCAATCAGACCTCGGCCACATTTCTGCGTGTTGTCGGCTCGGAGCTCATCCAAAAATACAGTGGCGAAGGACCCAAGCTGGTCCGCGAACTTTTTCGCGTTGCCGAGGAGAATGCTCCTTCCATCGTTTTCATCGACGAGATTGATGCTATTGGCACAAAGCGGTATGATTATCCCAACGTCGTCGCTGCAAGCTTTTTTTTTTTTTTTTTTTTTTTTTTTTTTTTCCTTTTCTTCTTCTTTTCCTTCCTGTTCTGTTCGTGACCGCTCAGCTGATCATGCTTTCACACTCCATTGTAGGTATGACACCAACAGCGGTGGTGAGCGAGAAATCCAACGTACCATGCTTGAGCTGCTGACCCGCCTCGATGGTTTCGATAGTCGCGGCGATGTCAAAGTACGTTGGCCTATGCAACACGAAACCTCGAGTGCCCGAAATGTCTTTGCCGACGTGCATTCTTTGTCAATCGTCAATAATCTAGGTCATCATGGCGACCAATCGAATTGATAGCCTCGATACGGCTCTCATTCGCCCAGGTTGGTCGAAGCGTCCGGCTTCTCTGCCACACACTTCTTTGCCCCTTGCTTCTCTCACACGTGGTTACTATTGTGCAATGTAGGGCGTATTGACCGGAAGATTGAATTTCCCCTCCCTGATGAGAAGACGAAACGCCGCATCTTCAACATCCACACGTCTCGCATGACACTCGCAGACGACGTCAACCTTGAAGACTTGATCATGTCCAAGGACGAGCTTTCTGGCGCAGATGTCAAGGTCTGTTCAGGTTAACAGTGTGTTTTGTGATCAGCCGCAACGGATGTTCATGCTGACACCTGTTCTTGCTTTTTTTTTTTTTTTTTCTTCCTATGATTTCCCTAGGCCATCTGCACTGAAGCTGGTTTGCTTGCTTTGCGTGAGCGGCGCATGCGGGTGACAAATGAGGACTTTCAAAAGGCCAAGGAGAACGTTCTCTATCGCAAGTCGGAAAATCTCCCTCAAGGCATGTCCTGATCATTTTGAAGATTATCATGAGGCTTTTGAAGGGCGTATGGTTCTAGAAATTGGCGAACATACTCATTCATTGCATTCCCCCTTTTTTTTTCCCGTCCACAGGCTTGTATTTGTAGGCTTTTTCAGCTTTTGCCATGATAGAGGATGGCAGTGCCAATTCCGGCTTTGACCAACCGTGTCGCATGCTAATCGTCTTGGTGAACGAACACCCAATGTCATGTTTGTGTTGTCTTTTTCAAGAGACTGAATTTCACGTCCTTTGAGATTAAGTTTTTTCCCTTACCGCTAAAAGTCAATCACACAACTTTCGGCGGCACCCATCCGAAAGACCATCACCCTGTGTTTGCGCAAAACGAATGATGAGGAACACCGACACTTTGTTCGTTCTGAGATAGCTAACTTGCATGTTAGGTCTCTCTCATGGCGTCCGAGCACCAATATTTTCCTACGGGGTTCGAAGTAACAGATGAATACCCAGGAAATGAGCTGCCAGTGTCAAATTCCACTTGATGCGTTGATAGATCAAAGTCCGCACTGCGACCCTTGAACAACGGGCAGTGATCACAGAATAGGTGTTTGAACCTCAGAACTGGAAGCAAAGCTATGCAGCCCCGGCACCATAACCAATAAAATAATAGACTCTTTCTTCAAAATGTTGCCCTCTGCCATGTCTGGGTGGAAAAGTCTGGCTACAACGCCAACGGTCAGAGCTGCCGCATCGACCTGCACTGCCGCAACCCCTTTCCCGGCGGTGCACTGGGCCCAGCTCTGCCCGACCTGGGCATTGACGTGACTGTGCGCACAGCCCAACCCCCGACCACCTCGCAAGCCTGCATCAAGGTGGGCGCTGCCCTTCGCCGAGCCGAAAAGGAGAAGCGCGACTACTACACCGGTTTCAACCATGGAAAAACTCTGATCGTCCCTGCGGCGATGACGACAACCGGTGGGTTCGCCTCCTCCTTTGTGGATCTGCTTGGTCAGCTCGCCCGCTGCGCCGAGGCCCGTGGTGTGTACCAGCCGGGGCTGGATGAGGCCTTTGTTCCTCGGTGGAAGGGTCGCTTTGCGGCTCTGGTCCATCAGATGAACGCTGACCACATCCAGCGCCACTTTGGCGGTGTCTGCCTGCGCTCGTCGTAGGTAGGCACCGTCTCGGGGGTCCCTCTGTGGGGATCCCTGTGTGCACCTGTTGCTCCCTAGGTGGTTCTCGTTGTGATCTTTTGATGGCTTGACTTGTATTTTTGTTTTAAACTTTGATTTTTACTGTATTTGTGTGGTATTTTTGCTGAATTTTTGTAAAGTCCTTTGTATGATGACTTTTCTTTCTGTGGTCGGTTGCCTTTTCAACCCGACGCTGTCTCTTGTTGTATGTGAGCGTGCCGTGGTGTTCTTTATGTTCGTGCTGTGATGGCTTGTAGTTGTGAAATGTGTGACTCCCTTTTTGGGTGTCTTGTGTTTTAAATGGCCGTATCTCTGGTTATACCTAATCGTTTTTCATGATTTTTGTTTCCTTGTGCGTGCTTCTTCGCGCTTGTACTTCTCGGCATGATAGAAGCCGATGAAAGTGTCTTGTTCTCTTGTGTTGTTTTGCGTGCCGTCGTGATTTTGATGTCGGGGTTGCACAGCTTTGCTTTCGGCTCTGAGGTTCAAACACCTAATTTATTATTAAGCAGTAGATGCATCCCAATTTGGTGTTGCCTTTGGCACCAATGCGCCACCACGGGCCGGCTCTCGGACTCAACCACCCCACCATGTTTGGCACCGAGCCTACCAAACCTCAACAAAGTGGGAGTCCTATCGCGGTGACAGCAAGAAAGGTCTTGACTCCCTCAAAGAAAATGTCAACTCGGCCCTCGTTCTTCTCCAAGCCGAGCCCTTGCTGCATATGGCCACCCTCGATCTAGAGGGCTGCACCGCCGCTGGTATCCAGGATATTTATGGCGACATTTCTTCCGACCTGGACTACCTCATCTACGTCAACGACATCATGGTTGACTGGATCTTACCGTGCTTGAGAGGTGACCTTGCCTCTCGGTTTCAGCGCGAAAAATCACGCCAACGCATCGTCTTGGGCGCCTGGTTCAAACAGATGGGCGCCCTCTTCCTCCAGACCACTCGTCACGACATTACCCAAGCCTCTCAGGCTCTTCGCGACCAACGCATCCGCACGGCCGACGACTTTCCTGTCTACCGCTCCTCCATCACTGCCGCCGTCGACACCCTTCGCATTGAGGGCGCCTACTCGGCTACACTCGTCATCGCCCAACTGGTTGATGGCCTGCCTTCGAAACTCAGGGACGTGATTGCAAACCTGTATCAACCGTCTTGGGATTTGGGCAAGTTCTTTGAGGTGGTGACTGCTAACCTGCACAAACTCACGCCTGCTGGTGCCCGCGCCGAACCTAAACAGGGTGCCTTTGCTGTTGAGCATGGTGGAGGGCGCGGGCGCGGGCATGGCCGTGGACGTGGTCGCGGACGCGGTCGTGGACGTGGTCGTAGCCGTGGTCGCCATGGTATACACCACGGGCCCCACCCAAATAAATAAATTAGGTGTTTGAACCTCAGAGCTGAAAGCAAAGCTGTGCAACCCCGACATCAAAATCACGACGGCACGCAAAACAACACAAGAGAACAAGTTACATTTATCGGCTTCTATCATGCCAAGAAGTACAAGCGCGAAGAATCACGCACATAGAAACAAAAATCGTACAAAACGACCAAGTATAACCAGAGATAAGGCCATTTCAAACACAAGACACCCAGAAGGGCAGTCACACATCAGTATAAGCCATCACAGCACAAACACAATGAACACCACGGCACGCTCACATCCAACGAGACACAACGTCGGATTGAGAAAACAACCGACCACAGAAGACAAAGGCATCATACAAAGGACCTTACAAAAATTCAGCAGAAATACCACAAAATACAGCAAAAATTAAAGCAAAATTAAAACAAAAATACAAGTCAAGCCATCAACAGACACAACGAGAACCACCCTGGGAGCCACAGGTGCACACAGGGATCCCCACAGAGGGACCCCCGAGACGGTGCCTACCTACGACGAGCGCAGGCAGACACCGCCAAAGTGGCGCTGGATGTGGTCAGCGTTCATCTGATGGACCAGCGCCGCAAAGCGACCCTTCCACCGGGGAACAAAGGCCTCATCCAGCCCCGGCTGGTACACACCACGGGCCTCGGCGCAGCGGGCGAGCTGACCAAGCAGATCCACAAAGGAGGAGGCGAACCCACCGGTTGTCGTCATCGCCGCAGGGACGATCAGAGTTTTTCCATGGTTGAAACCGGTGTAGTAGTCGCGCTTCTCCTTTTCGGCTCGGCGGAGGGCAACGCCCACCTTGATGCAGGCTTGCGAGGTGGTCAGGGGTTGGGCTGTGCGCACAGTCACGTCAATGCCCAGGTCGGGCAGAGCTGGGCCCAAGGCACCGCCGGGAAAGGGGTTGCGGCAGTGCAGGTCGATGCGGCAGCTCTGACCTGATATATTATATCTGACCGTTGGCGTTGTAGAGTGAGCGCATCAATGCCAACTGTGAATTTTGTCGCATCTATGGCCACGATGCATCTCAGTGCCGCAAGAAGCGCGCGCACGAGAAGCACAATGGCAAGCAGTTTGCGGCCCCCGTCATGACCGCGACCTTGTCTCTTCCACCCCCCTCCCATTTGCCCGCTGCTCCTGCTGTGAATTATTCGCCCGCACAAACACATTATCGTCACCACGAGTTGTTCTTGACTTGTTTGTCAGCCACCAACCTGGCCACCAGCAATCGTGCATTGGTGGACAGTGGTGCCACTGCTCATTTTTTTGTTGATCGTGATTTATTTCGTGACCTTGCTCCAAGCTCTGAGACCATTGTGACTGCCAACGGCGTGACGGCTGCTGAAGCCGTCGGCTCCGTGTCTTTGCTCGTGACTGATGTTGATGGTGTCTTGCGCCCCATTGTTCTTGATCGTTGCTTTTATGATAATAATAAATTAGGTGTTTGAACCTCAGAGCTGAAAGCAAAGCTGTGCAACCCCGACATCAAAATCACGACGGCACGCAAAACAACACAAGAGAACAAGACATTTTCATCGGCTTCTATCATTCTGAAAAGTACAAGCGCGAAGAATCACGCACAAGGAAACAAAAATCATGAAAAACGACTAAGTATAACCAGAGATACGGCCATTTAAAACACAAGACACCCAAAAAGGGAGTCACACATTTCACAACTACAAGCCATCACAGCACGAACATAAAGAACACCACGGCACGCTCACATACAACAAGAGACAGCGTCGGGTTGAAAAGGCAACCGACCACAGAAAGAAAAGTCATCATACAAAGGACTTTACAAAAATTCAGCAAAAATACCACACAAATACAGTAAAAATCAAAGTAAAATTAAAACAAAAATACAAGTCAAGCCATCAAAAGATCACAACGAGAACCACCTAGGGAGCAACAGGTGCACACAGGGATCCCCACAGAGGGACCCCCGAGACGGTGCCTACCTACGACGAGCGCAGGCAGACACCGCCAAAGTGGCGCTGGATGTGGTCAGCGTTCATCTGATGGACCAGCGCCGCAAAGCGACCCTTCCACCGAGGAACAAAGGCCTCATCCAGCCCCGGCTGGTACACACCACGGGCCTCGGCGCAGCGGGCGAGCTGACCAAGCAGATCCACAAAGGAGGAGGCGAACCCACCGGTTGTCGTCATCGCCGCAGGGACGATCAGAGTTTTTCCATGGTTGAAACCGGTGTAGTAGTCGCGCTTCTCCTTTTCGGCTCGGCGAAGGGCAGCGCCCACCTTGATGCAGGC